AAAAAATATATATATATATATATGTGTGTGTGTGTATATATATATGTATATATATAACATTAATATGTTATTTTGTTTTCAGTTTAAAAATATTTTGTGAATAGAACTACTTAATAGTCTTCTAGCTTAATAAAATCAAATCATTTGTCAATAAATGTTTTAGAGAAGCATATATTTTGAACCATTATAGCCCCCTCGTTTGCTCTCCAAGAAGTCCTGGTTTGGATGAGAAATTACGTGGGACCCATTCCAGGGGCTCTTTTTAAGTGCAGTGGCTTTGAAACCTGAGTATGGCTCCCAAATCATTGTCTCCTGCTTCCTTGAAAAGAACCCTCATCTGTTTCTTAGTTGAAAGCAAAACAGCTGCAGGTTTTGACCATGTAGGTGATGGATTTGGGCTGCAGAGAGAAAACACTACCCTCTTGGAGCTGCAGGGGGCAGTGTGGGTCAGTCCACTGCTGGACATCCTGGGCCAGCTGGAAAGGGGACTTTTGGGTTTGGAGGGGCCAGAGGGGTCAGCTGGGCAGCTTCTGCCCAGAGGCACTGGCCCATGGATGGCTCCTTGCGCTCAAATGCCCTGAAAACCCCAATTATTGAGGTGACCAGGGAGGAAGTCAGGAGCTGGGAAATGGAGACATGAGACAGCCCGCTACTCTCTGGGGTCTCCTGGGCTGGTTGAGAGGTCCAAAACCCAAATCACCTTACACAGGGCCAGACAGTGTGATCCCAGGAAAGACTCCATCTCAGGTAGCTCAACCTCAAAATCTGGTGGGGTCAAGTAAAGGGTGAAGAGAGAGAGGGGACCACTCCAAGAGAGGGGCGGAGATGTGGGAAAGTGGATGGGGCTCAGGAAAATCCCTTTCCTACCCTTGGTTGTGCACCTCAACCTGCCTCCTGCCCTCCCCCCCAGCCCAGCCACTGTTTCCCAGTCTCCTGCCCAGCTCCCTTCCTCGGGCCCTGGTGCAGTGACTTCCTGCAGCTTGCCGCCTTGACCCTGGCCTTCCTCTCCAATTACCCCCACAAGGAGTGCCTCCCCCACACACTGCACTTGCAGCCCACCTCCCCTTCTGACGAGGCCCCTAGACCCCAAATGCAACTGCTACAGGTAGTCTCCTCAGGAATGTTCCACCGTCCTCTCTAATGTAGCCTTTCATCTTCAGTAACAACAGGACATTGCTCATAAGATTTCAGTGAGAGTCCAGGCGCAGTGGCTCATGCCTGTAATCCCAGCACTTTGGGAGGCCGAGGCAGGCGGATCATGAGGTCAGGAGATAGAGACCATCCTGACTAACACAGTGAAACCCCGTCTCTACTAAAAATACAAAAAAATAGCCGGGCGTGGTGGTGGGCGCCTGTAGTCCCAGCTACTCAGGAGGCTGAGGCAGGAGAATGGCGTGAAACCGGGACACGAAGCTTGCAGTGAGCCGAGATCGTGCCACTGCACTCCAGCCTGGGTGACAGAGCGAGACTCCGTCTCAAAAAAAAAAAAAAAGATTTCAGTGAGGGTTGATGAGGTCATTGATCTCAGAACCTCAGATAGCTTATCCCGCTTCATAGGAGCTCAGTAACTGGGAGCTTATATTATTGCTTTATGCCTCCCGCTAAAAATCATCCTTATCCCCACCCTAGAGCCCCCATTCTCCTTGTCTCAGCTAATGAATGATGCTCCCTCCCACCCCAGCTCCCAAGATGGAAACCCCAATACCTTTGCTGCCTCACTTTTCACCCACATCCCACTGATCACCACTGCCATGGACCCTACCCTTGAAATCCTTCTCGACTCCCTCCCTCCTTTCCATTCCCATTGCCCCTGGCTTGGTCTTTCTTAAACACACATTGCTTAGATCAATACGTCTCAAATGTTGATGAGCAGAGGAACCACCCAGGAACCTTCGTAAAAGGTGGGAGGTCTGGGACGGTCCTGAGACTCTGCATTCCTCACATGCTCCCAGGTGATGCTCAGGCTTCTGGACCACTCTCCAGACGCAAAGGCTACCCTGTGTCAGGAGCTGACGCGCGGCATCCAGGGCTCCCTCTGGAAACTTTCATGGCGACTCATGGCTCGTAGCCAAGGTTTTTGAACTTCAGTCTATATAAAGCCATTATTCCCCAGATACTCGGATTTCTTCCATCTGGAGTTGGGCACAGGAATGGGCATCTTTCCTTCGTGCCCCCAGGTGACTCTAATAATGTAGATTGTTAATGGAAAAATGAGCCCCTAGGGCCAAGCCAAACTCTAGCATGGCATTGAGGGCCTACCCAATTCCTTTTCAGACTTTTCCTCCTCACTCATCTTCTCCCACGTACCGGAGAACCGTGAACTGCCTGGGCAGTGGGTCCTGTCTGGGATCCCTTCGCTCCTCTGTCCCCTGCCTGCGTCTCCCTCTGCCTTCCATCCTGGATGACTCACTCTACACTGCATTTCTGGGGAAGGTTTCATTAACTGCGTAGAGGAATCGTTGCTCCCTCACCTTTGCTCCTTGGCACCGTGGCCTTGTCTCCGGAGCATGGGAGTGGGGTATCAGGGTGGCTGTCCTTCTGCCTGTCCTTCCTCCTCAATGAGCCACTTTAGGGCTGAAACAAGACTATATTCTTTGCGTCTCCAGGGCCTACCTGGCTGCCTGACCCAAGGACTTGCCCAGTGAGGAATATTAAGAAGACATCAGATGGAATAAAAAGACAGATTTATAATGAAATAGATAGTGGGTTGACGGTTGAGGGGAGTAAATATACAACCTGCTTTATCATAAATAAACTCCTTTTCTCATCTCAGTCCTGGAAATCACATGTCATTTCTGCTCTACATACTCAGCATTTGGTAGGCTCACAACAGAAACGGATGAAATACAAATCCTTAAAATTCTGCATGGTTTTAATCACTGTTTCAAGCACCATTTGGACCAGGTCACTCGTGCAGGCCCACTGAGAGTGAATGGCCAGGGACTCACAAGTTGTCATTGGCCTTAAAATATAACGGGGACAGAGCCGGGCTCCAGCGGGTGGACAGGCTGTGAATTCCGCAGGTTGTTGCCCACTGCCGCTCACGTCAGGAAAATCACCTGCGGCTCCCCTGAGCACTTCTGGACCTCAGTTTCTAATAGATGAACAAAATGATCTTTGTCTTTCTCAAGGGTGTCAGCCTCCTCTTAGATCACTGAGCATTTGAAGAGGAGGGTTATCAAATTAATGCATGAGATGAGACAATGTTTCAGCTAGGAAGTCTGCATCTCTGGAGTTGTATTAAACCAATTAATATTCCCCAATCAATTACTCTGTAATTTGCTCAAGTATATTAAAAGTATTGTGGCAGTGTGCAGTAACAGATTTTTAAAACAGTCTGTGCCTACATGGGCAGAGCTGCCTGTCATGGAAGGGCCAGGGCAGCATGCAGCGGGGGTGAGGGCTTCTGTCTCCAGGGTTCCTGGGTTCATATCATGGTTCCTCCATATCCTCCAGCCTGACTTTGGGCCAGTTCTTTATCCTTCGGGAACCTCTGTTTCTCAGCCCTGTGGGGTTATTGTGCGGATAATACAGATATAAAATACCCAGCACATAGTAGGTGCTCATGGAATTATTTGTGTATATGGCACATTTTACAAATCTAAAATGTGTATTTTGGAAATTAAAAAAGAGGAAAGAAGTAAAAGTGCTGATTGCCACCATCATAGTTGTTCTGGGCTAATTGTTATAATGTCCTCATAATGGTTTCATCTTAATAGTGGTGATTACTGAAACACAATTAGGATTTTTCATGCTCATTCAGATATCTTCTCTAATTACAAGCATTAGTGTTTAACATGTGAGCAGCCAGGGAATGGATGTTTCTTGGCCTCAGTTCTGAAATGGGGTCCATTTGCATCCCTGAGGGAGGCCTCAGGCAGGAGAGGGCTGCTGGTGGGGACAGGCTGACCTTGGATGGGGTTCAGGGGGTGGGGAGTGGAGGGGGGCACACCTCCACTGCATGTCTGCATTGTCAACAGTAAATCCCATTCAGCAGGTGCCACTGCCCACCTGCACCTGCCAGTGAGGCTCTAGTGACGGGTTTCCACACCACCAAGCAGTCACTGCCACATTTAGTGATGCTCTGATGTTTTGGCAAAATGGAGTGCCAGGTGAAGATCTGAGGTGATGGCCCACGGGTCCTCAGCATGAAAGAGCCTTTTTCTGTGCTGAGCCACTTTACAGTTTGGGTCTGCCCCTGGGCATTCCTACCCCCTACCCCCAATAAACACTCACCTGCATCCCAGGGTACTCAATTGGCTCTGTCAAGATGAGTGGACCATGGCCCCATCCTTACAGAGGCAGCTTACCTCCACTTCACCTGAGAGTTCAGACACGGCCATGGTCAGAGGCAAGGGTCAAGCTGCAGCCAGGCAGAGCGTGCTGCAGCCAGACCAAGCACGCAGGAGCTAGACTGAGTGTGCTGGAGCAGGGAGGAATAGAGAACTTGGCTGCAGCCGGGCGATGAGGCTGCCTGAACTAGGCCCTGGAGGATCGACGTTTTCCAGGCATTGTGAAGGAGGATGAAGAAACAGATTGAAAAGCAATGTCTTGCTGGGTGTGAAGAGGACAGCTGGCTAGAGAGCAAGGCTTGAATGGGAGGGGTAGAGTTAGCAGGGCGAGTGGAGGGTGGATGGTAGAGGGTCCACGCCAGGCTAGGTCACCCAGAAGTGATGTCTCCTAAGTGGTTCCGGGGAGGGCAGGGGTCTGGGATGAGATCGCCCTGGGTTCCAGTCCCCGACCTGCCCCCCAACCATCAACCAAGCGGGTCCTCTGAGTCCTGGTTCCCTCCTTTGAGTGAAAGTCCGTAGTCAGTGACCGTATCCCCCTGGTGTTGGGAAGGCTCAGTGAGATGATCCGTGAAAGTGACAGGCAAACTTCTTGGCTCAGAGGAAGCCCTGAAATGAAGTTGCCTCTTATCCTCACCATCACTGCCTGGCACCGGAGGGTCCCACTGCTGCTGCTGGATGACCTCTGAGCCTGTCCCTGCCTCTCTGCAGGTCCACCATGGAGCCCTTGTGTCCACTCCTGCTGGTGGGTTTTAGCTTGCCGCTCGCCAGGGCTCTCCGGGGCAACGAGACTACTGTCGACAGCAACGAGACCACCACGACCTCAGGTAAGGACCCATGCCCCTCTCCCTTTCCCTGGCTGCCTCCCTTACTGCCTCCTCCTGAGCTCCTGGGACCATTCAGAGGGTGGAAAAGGGGCTTAGGGTAAGAGAAGAATGGTGTGGTTCAATTTCTTAGTGTGCTTTTCATAGTTTGTGCCTCTAAAAACAGGAAGGCTAAATAAGCTAGTTTAGCATTTGGTTGTTCACCAAAGCTTAGTGTTCCAGAGGTGTCCCATCTACGACCCCGGCTGAGAGTCAGGGTCAGCCTTGGCTGGAGGCGGGAGAGCAATAGGGTTAAAAATCCCCCAAAATCTCATTGTGCAGAAAACCAACCATGAACATACATGGACGAGGCGATGTGACAGTTAATGTCCCTGATGTGACAGTTAATTATATGAACTAAAGAATTATTCTTAGGCCGAGTGCAATGGCTCACGCCTGTAATCCCAGCACTTTGGGAGGCCGAGGGGGGCGGATCACGAGGTCAAGAGATCGAGACCATCTTGGCCAACATGGTGAAACTCCATCTCTACTAAAAATACAAAAATTAGCTGGGTGTGGTGGTGCATGCCTGTAATCCCAGCTACTCAGGAGGCTGAGGCAGGAGAATCACTTGAACCCAGGAGGTGGAGGTTGCAGTGAGCCGAGATTGCGCCGCTGTACTCCAGCCTGGCGACAGAAGAAGATTATTTTGAAAAAAAAAAAAAAAAAAGGAATTATTCTTAATATTTTAGGTCAGATATTGGCATCATGGTTAGTTTTATTTTTAAAAAGAAGAGTCCTTGCCTTTCGAGATGCCTGCTGACGCGTTCGTGAGTGGACTGTGATGTCTAGGCATTATGCAGAAAAGAGCAAAAGGGAAGTGGGGGTGGGAGCTTGTGAGCAAAGTCACACCAAGGGCCCCACATGATTTTCTAACCCTGGACAAATGTCCTGCGAATGTACCATTGGTCTCAGGAGGAGGAAAGAGTGAAGATTTCTGGCAACAGAACCTTCAGTGAGGAGAGCAGTTCTAAGCGCCCACCTGTCTTTTTCCTCTTCATGTTGAAACCTCAGAGACATCTAAAACCCCAAAAACGAGAGACCAGAAGCTGCCAGCAAATATAAACTTGCCTCTTTGCAAGCCAGTCCTTCAGGGGCAGGTTATTTCAACCCACAATCCCGACTTTTCTTCCCAATGCAAATCAACTGGCCACTTAGAAATATCTGACAAACTGCCTGGATGTCCCCTCACATCCAGGAGTCACAATGGCAGAACATCCGTTTGCGCAACAGTGGGGAAGAATCTGCCCGGGCTCTGCAGACAGTCCCTCAGGTGGCACTGTGGGCACCGGCAGGATGACATCCACTCCACATCTGAGGCTTTTCAGTTTATTTGAAAACAAAATTGTTGGCTCACATATTGCCACAGACATGGGGTGTTACTTTCAGGAGAAGGACACTGTCATGTGACCTCAGCACCCAGAGCAGAACTAAATGTGAAACTCACACCTTGGTCCAGCCTCTGCCAGGGCCTCTGCATGCTGAGCAAGGCTGCTGGTCCACAAGCAAGAGGGAAACGGGCCTCGGGTTATAAGGTGCAGACGGGCTCCTTTGACCTAGAATTGTAGAAGGGAACCTGACCCTGTAAAGTGCCCTTTAAATCTTCATCTGACCCCCGGAAGAAGTATGAAGGACCATTTCAGATGATAACACGTTGCCACAGTGTGCCAAAATAACAGGAAGCTGTTTCATTTGTTCATTGAACAAATTATATTCAGTACTCATCCAGACACATTCTTTTACAGAAGGAATTAAAGGTAAATGTTTACAAATTATGTAATAAAATGTTATCTATAAAAAATAATATGTAGAAGAACACAGTGGAAACACAAGTAAAGAATATGACCAGGCAGAATACAAATATCTAAATATGTTTCACTAATCATGAAAAGATGCTCAACTCTCTAGAAATTAGAGAAATGCAAGTTAAAATAACATTATCATTTTACCTATCAGATAGACCGAAATGAAAAGGGTCGGCAATATCCCAGAGAAGAGAAATTGCTCCACTGCCCACTATGGGCAGCGTTCCGCAACCTTTGTGACACCAGGGACCAGTTTAATGGAAGACAGTTTTTCTGTGGAGTTGGTGGGGGGTGGGGGTGAGGAGGGCATGGTTTGGGGATGATTCGAGTGCATTATATTTATTGTGTACTTTATTTCTATTATGATTACATTGTAACGTACAATTAAATAATTATACAACTCACCATCATGTAGAATCAGTGGGAGCCCTGAACTTGTGTTCCTGCAACTAGACAGCCCCTCTGGGGGTGATGGGAGACAGTGACAGATCACCAGGCATCAGGTTCTCTTAAGGAACAAGCAACGTAGATCCCTGTCATTCACTATAGGGCTCGGGCTCCTGTGAGAATCGGTGCCACCACTGATCTGACAGGCGGCAGCACTCAGGCGGTAATGCTTTGCTCACCTGCTGCTCACCTCTTGCTGTGTGGCCCAGTTCCTAACAGGCCACAGACTGGTACCCATCCGTGTCCTAGGGGGTTTGGAGACCCCTGCTATGGATGAGTGTAGAAGTTGGAAACTTGGGGCTGCCAACTTGGCAATTGTGTTAAAATGTAACAAGTGTAGAGGCTAACACAGAAGCTATCCTACAGAAACACTTTCGAGACACAAAGATATATATATATATATGTGTGTGTGTTGCAGAACTGTAGGTAATAGCAGAAAAGTTGGAAACAACCTAAATGTCCATCCTATTTTGGTCTATCCAAAAAGTGGAATCCAAGCAGCTATTAAACACAATGAGGAAGCTTATCTGGGCTGACGTGGAAACTCTCCAAGAGAGACAGCCGTACCAGAAAGGCAAGCTGGAGAACTGCCCCGCGGTGCATTTCATCTGTTTCTTTCATATTTAATGTGGCTATATGGGGACGTGTCTTAAAATTGGTAGCACTTCACAATTATAATCAGTATCATTTTTTTTCTTTCTTAGTGGTACTTAAAATAACGATGCTTTTTACAATCCGTGAAGCTTTGGATGAAACGAGAAGAGTAGTATGGTCTATTTATTTCCCGAACCTGCATATTTATGAACGTAAATTTATAGAAGAAAATGTCAGGAAAGATACGCTTTGAAATCTTAATTATGTTTAACTCTGGCAAAGAGAACGGGTTCCTGAACATTGAAAATTTTAGGCCAGAGTGAGCTGGGACCTTAAACCATTGTCTGCGCACCTGTCCTTTAGTGAGCCGCATCTTTCCAGCATGGACTTGCTCCGCCTCTAGGGGCCCTGGGGGAAGGAGGGCTTGACATGAAGGTGGGAGAGAAGAGGGATGGAGATAAGACGGGGGCCACAGTAAGAGTAGCTGTGCCCTGGGGCAGAACTGAGGTGGTCCCTGGAAGACCCCAGCTCTGGGCTGGAGCTCAGGATGAGCTTCCTAAGCAGAGGGTGCTGGGTGGCCACACTGTAGCCAAGGTTGCCGTTCTCTTTGTCTGCTCCAGAGTCACATTCAAGCCTAAGGTTTTCAACTTTCAGGATCAGATTCTGTGTAAGCAAACATGCACACACACACACACACACACACACACAAAGTTGCAAGTGTACATACGTATAAAATCGGTGCGAACATACGCACACACTTTGTTTTGGGCAATAGCTGGACGGTCATTCAGGAAGAAGGCTACTTGAAGATGACCACCCTGGGGACTGGTCACCTTGACCTCTGTCCCACCCTGTCGGAGCCACGACAACATGAAATGAAAATAGACTATGACTGGAATTTCCTTCTCAGATGCCTCCCGGCCTCCTGTCTGGACCATGTTGGTGCCCAGAGGACATTTTTATTTTCTTCCTGGTTCACACCATTTTAAAAAATTGTATTTCAATTGAATTTCTTACCAATATTTAAAAATCAGAAAATGTTTACATAAAAATATGAATCTCTTCTTTAGGAAAGTGGGAAGAACTAGGCACTGTGGACACCCCTTGTGCTTGGCCCCAGTGGGCTGGAACTCAGAAGTAGCCGTCCCTGCAGGCAGGACGTGGGGAGTCCCCACTCCAGCCCCCACTCCAGCCCCCACTGGCCTCCCCGCGCCCCCCAGGGATGTTCTCGCCTGCCCCTTGGGTTGGGTTTCTGATCCTGATCTCTGGCCTCCTGAACAGAGGCAGCTACTACCCCAATCGTTGCCTTCCAGGGGCTTCCCCAGAAACGTGGGCGCCACGGCAGTCATGCTGAGGGCCTGTTCACTCACGGCAGAGTAAGGTTTGCGCTTTGAGGCATCCAGGGCCTCTCTGGGTCCGCAAGACAGGAGTCCAGTGGGCTTCTTGGAGGTGGAGGCCTTTGAGATTGTCCTTGAGGTGTGGGAACATTTCGGTGAGGAGGGGGCTGTGTGGCCAGCTGGGGAGGAGCAGGAACAAAGTCCGACGTAGGGAGAGCGGGTGGGGTCCAAAGATGGCATCGAGGCCACCAGGGCCCCTTGGAATTTGGGCTGGTGAGCCAGGGGCAGGTCCTGAGCAGCAACAAAACCGCTGAGCTGGGCCTGGAGCTGCGGTCTCTTTCCAGGTGAGGAAGGTCAACCTGTCAGGACAGAGTAAGAGGCAGGTGGTGGCTGGGCACTCGGCCTCTGACACGTGGAATCAGGACCTGGAGGCTCTGGAAGGTGGGGTCACAGTGCGCTAGGGCCACAGGCCTCTACCCAGCCCCAGGGCCCGGCTGCCTCCCTATGCCAGAGCTCTTGCCCAGCCCAGGGGGCCCTGAGAGCTGAGCTATGCCAATTCAGCCTCCTGCACTGTCTTAGGACCCTGCAGTGGACACCGGCCCCTTCACCCTTCTCCAGCTTCTTAGCAGGAGAGCCAGGCAGCCAGGCCGTGTGGGGGTCTGCGGAACTCACCCCTGTCATGCCTGCCCCAGGGATCTTGGACAAGTCACCTCACCCACTCCTCAGTCCTGGATTCTTTCTCTGAATCAACAGCAACAACCAAAGCTACTTCTCTGTTATCTCGTGGGGCCTTTTCAGGATGATGGATCCACTTTGCAAACTATAGTGTGGGGTTCTGGTGTCCAGGAAGAAGAGCTCATGGAGGGGGACTCTTGTGCAAACTGTGAAGTGAGGTCAGGGGTTAGGGTCTTTCTGCTTCTCCTGCAGGCCCTCCGGACCCAGGCGCCTCCCAGCCACTGCTGGCCTGGCTGCTACTGCCGCTGCTGCTGCTCCTCCTCGTGCTCCTTCTCGCCGCCTACTTCTTCAGGTAGGAGTGTCCTGGCGCACTGACTTGCCCCAACCAGCTCAGAGGAGGAAATGAGCCTTCTGATGCTGCGGGCGTGGGCCGTGCAGCAGAGGGCAGCTGGGAGGCTGGGTGGCCAGGCCTGGGAGACACACAGAGGCCAGGCCTTAGCACGGCTCAGCCATGAGCAACAGGAGTAGCTTTTCCCGGCTCACCTGGTGGGTATCACTGTGCCAAGCGCTGTTGGCTCTTTGGGAACCTAGAAGTGTGGAAACCTAACAAGTCCTGTGTCTCTAAGGTTCAGGAAGCAGAGGAAAGCAGTGGTCAGCGCCAGCGACAAGAAGATGCCCAACGGAATCTTGGAGGAGCAAGGTACAGAAGCTCCTCTCTGGCTGGGGCTTGGGGGGAAAATGTGTTCTTTTTTAACAGACACTGACGTGCTTTCTGTCTTTAACATTCAAAGTAAATTTTGAGGTGTGCCTTGCCACTTTCATCTCACTTTACCTGGTATGATGCTGTCGTTTAGAATTTCACTATTTCAAAAGTTTGAGGATCATTTTTCTCTCTGGCGTGACACGGACGTTTGAGACATTTTTGTTTGTGGCTTTTTTTAGAGAGACTGTTCATATCCTGTCATTTTCACAGGGTGTTGACATGTCACACTTTTCAGTGAGGCTTTACAATGGTTCTCAGATAAGACTGTCTGGTTCATAAACTATTCAACTGGGTTTGTACTGCTTTAGGATCAAGCTGGAAAAAGGGACTTGCTCTACTAAAGTGCTTCATGTTTACAGAGCATCAGAGTCAGCTGGGAGCATTTCCAACTTTTCCGTCAGAAGTATAGTTTCTCACTTGTTGTTGCTACTTACAACGGAACACTGTTTTTCTCTCCATACATCGAGATGAGATGACCGAGAAACGTGTGTAAGGCAGAGGCCACAAAAATATTACTTCACACCCCAGTGACTACAACTTCCTGGAGTCAGCTTCCCACCTAACTGTAATCAGTTCTATGGTTCGGGGGACACATGTGCTGTCAGACTAAAATAGGCTCTTCAGACAGACCTTAGATAATGAAAAGAATATCACCAACAAGGACCCAGCTGAAATGGAGCCTCCCAGCGCTCGTGGGACCCGAGCCCCTAGTCAGATGATAACGTGGCCCCAGGTGCTATCTTCCTGCCCTTGTTCCAGCCCCCGGTTCCCTGCCCTGCACGTTTCAACGGCAGGAACGGGAGGGAAGAGGGTGCGGCTGGTGAGTAGCAAGGAAGCTCAGCGTCATTCATTCTGATCCTGTCTGTCACTTGGAGGAATGAGCCTTGGGTGAAGTTTTTGACTGGGCTTCAGAATGGCTCTGCAGGGAGGGAGAGGCCCTTTTGCAAGTGTGACAGCTGGGTTATCGTGCTGACCCATGATATCATGCTGGGTTGTCAATGTCAGCTCATCCTCCAGGAAGAGAAACACATGCCCATGACTATTCTTGCCTCTCACTCCGGACCTGGGGAAGGAATGTGTCCAAGAACTCCCTTATAACGCGTACTTCTCCTTCTCAATGCCCCTTGTCACCCTCCCCAGACAAGGGTGGTTTTCCCTTGGAGCTTATGGGGTTTGAGGAACCAGGAATATTTGTTATGAAGAAGAAAAGGCTGAGAGAGACTGTTCTGAGTTTGCTCCCAGAAGCCATAATTACTCTTTCTTATTTCCAAACCTGGAAAGCTGAGCTGGAGAGTGAGGCCATCCTGAATCCTTTTTTAGAAGGAACAGGGGCTGGAGGGAAGGAGAGGCAGAAGGGTGGGTAGATGAGTGGCCTGGAGATGGGGACAGAGTGTCTCCTATGAGGGAGAGCAGATGACACTGGGCAGAGGGACGCCTGTCACTTGTAAATGATGTGGATGCCTCATAAGAGCCGGGCGCGGTGGCTCAAGCCTGTAATCCCAGCACTTTGGGAGGCCGAGACGGGCGGATCACGAGGTCAGGAGATCGAGACCAACCTGGCTAACACGGTGAAACCCTGTCTCTACTAAAAATACAAAAAAACTAGCCAGGCGAGGTGGCGGGCGCCTGTAGTCCCGGTCACTTAGGAGGCTGAGGCAGGAGAATGGCGTAAACCCGGGAGGCAGAGGTTGCAGTGAGCTGAGATCCGGCCATTGCACTCCAGCCCGGGCAACAGAGCAAGACTCCGTCTCAAAAAAAAAAAAAAAAAAAAAGAGTCGAGTGTTTGGAATAAGCTGCTCAGGACCCGGCTTAGCCCAGCTATGTGATTTGAGAGAACCGTTCCAGCTCCAGCCTGGTCATTTCTTCAGGAATGTCGTTGGTCAGCTTGATTACTCAGTCACCTGTCCAGGAATGTGGCTAAATGGCCCCCATGTTTCTTTTGATCCCACAGAGCAGCAAAGGGTGATGCTGCTCAGCAGGTCGCCCTCAGGGCCCAAGAAGTACTTTCCCATCCCTGTGGAGCACCTGGAGGAGGAGATCCGTATCAGATCCGCCGACGACTGCAAGCAGTTTCGGGAGGAGTTCAACGTGAGTGTGGGGAGGGGCCCCCTGCTGGGTGCCCTGTGGTTGAGACCTGTGAAATCCAGTGTTAGAGTTCAGGAAGAATTATCCCAAAGACCTGGAACCCTTGCATTGGTTACGACACTGTCCCATGAATGGGCGTGGGAGGAAACCTGGTTTGTGGTGCAATGCCCTTCGCCAATGCTTATTTCCTCATTTATAAGATGAGACAGTTGAGTTAGAGGTTTGTGAAGCCTCTTTCCATCTCCCACACTCTGAGTGTCAAGTTCTGAAATCAACTGAAACAGAAACACTGTTATCTCGGTAATGTAGAAGGCTAGGGCCTGAGCACAGCACAATATGACAATATCATGGTGAAAGTAACAGAGCCCCAAACCATCCTTTCATGGCTTCTGAGAGCTGGACCATCTAATCGGAGTAGGCGATGTTCCTCTTCTGAACCACCATCTCAGCATTAAGGAAGCAGCTGTGAGCTGCCTTGAGGGAACACAAGCTATATCTGCTTGTGTATCAACATGGGTGGGTGGGTGGATGGATGGATGGATGAGTGGGAGGGCAGATGGATGGATGGATGCATGCATGGATGAATGGATGGATGGATGAGTGGGAGGGCGGATGGATGGATGGATGGATGGATGGATGGATGGATGCATGCATGCATGGATGGATGCATGGATGGATGAGTGGGAGGGCAGATGGATGGATGGATGGATGGATGGGTGGATGGATGGATGGATGGATGGATGGATGGATGAGTGGGAGGGCAGATGGATGGATGGATGATGGATGGATGAGTGGGAGGGCAGATGGATGAATAGATGGATGCATGGATGGATGGATGGATGAGTGGGAGGGTGGATGGATGGATGGATGAATGGGAGGGTAGATGGATAGATGGATGGATGGATGGATGGATGGATGGATGGATGGATGAATGGATGGATGCATGGATGGATGGATGGATGCATGAATGGATGGATGAATGAGTGGGAGGGCAGATGGATGGATGAATGGATGGGTGGATGGATGGATGAATGGATGATTGATGGATGAGTGGGAGGGCAGACGGATGGATGGATGCATGGATGAATGGGCAGATAGAGAAGTAGACAAACAGATATGAGGATGTGTTGTCTTGGATTTTGCTATTCAGTATTTATCCTTGGTCATGTTTTGAATTTTATGCATCTTCACCTTCTTGCATGTGGCTGTGCTGAGTGTTGATCATAAAGAGGATAGGTTTTCAGCAGAATTGCTGACTGGTCCTGGCTATGCCTGTTGTGGTCTGGCCCTGGCACATCAGTTAATCTCCTTGAAGTTGTCTTCCACCACCTAGGAAGGGGCAATGGAGATGGGCCTGTCTTATTTACCTTGAAGTTGGAATGGGAGGCTGAGACGATGGATATTGTAAACAAGTGTTGTGCAGTTGTTATATCTGAAGATGGCATGAACTCTGCCGCAGACATGAGACTTTACCCAGAAGCAACGTGTGAAGGCATGGGAAGGTGGTGGCACATGTAAACTGTACATTGCTTGTTTTTTTAGCACAAGCCTCCTCTGCCTTTATCTCGCTTCCTTTTTATTGTTTCCAAATGTGTCCCCTTTTTTGGAGAAATTAGGTCATATTGAAAGACAGCTTCAAGCACTATTGTGTTGCAATCTCTCAGCCTGACAACAGACCTTCTCATTTTCAAAATAACTATCCAAGTTTTCAGCTAGCAGATCCCTTTCCCCACCCTTCTTATCCTGTTTCCCCTTGCACTTTTGTTTCCCCAAGTGGCAGGGGCTGGGCTTGCTGATGGGGGTGTCTGAGTCAGAACCAGCTCAAAAGTGGGGGCCACTCCGAGGGAGGGAGTCCGGGAATAGGGTGGGGTAGGTGAGACACTTACCCCAGGCACAAAATTTAAGGCAGCACCAAAAGCTCAGTAGTGGGATAAATGATATTTTAACACAACACTTAAAATATCAAAAGTATCAGCACCACAGAAAAGGTAACAAATAAAATGTCAAAATGGATACAGGCAGCCCCTGGTGAAGAAAATAGCATGACCATGAAGGAAGATAGGCTTGGGCTGACGGTTTTTCCCTGTTACCCTGGGCCCTGATACATATGGCTTGTCACCACACAACTACTCACCCTGCCATTAGTTAAAAGTTTCATATTTTGTTCATCATAGATTTTGTGCCTTGATTTGGACTTTTAAAAATATTGCATTTGAATATAATTTCCCCTGGTTTCAGAATTTTGGGGGCACCCTATTAAATTTTGCACCCAGAGGAAGTCCCTCATGCTCTTCTGCCACTGGGTGGCCCTTGGCTGAACATTGGAGTCCCTCTGCTTAGTGACAGGCAGGGTAGAGACGCGGTGGAGGGGAAGAACACTGGACCTGAAGTCAGGATCACGGAGCCTGATCCTGTGTCTGGGGAACCCTGGGGGAGCTGCTTTTTTGTCATTGTTTTGTTTGTTTGTTTGAGATGGGGTCTCACTGTGTCTCCCAGGCTGGAGTGCAGGGGCCTGATCACAGCTCACTGCAGCCTCAACCTCCCAGCTCAAGTGATCTTCCCACCTCAGCCTCCCAAGTAGCTGGGACTATAGGCATGTGCCACCATGCCCACTGGCTTTTTACCTTTTTTTTTGTAGGGATGGAGTTCCACTGTGTTGCCCAGGCTGTGCTTTTTCCTCATCTGTCCAGTGAAGGGCTGGCCATGTCCTGAGAACATGTTCATGCAGCACCCGTCCTCTGAGAGCACTGGAGCCTGCCATGGCCAGCTCTCCCTCGGGTCCTAAGAGGGACATGCTCCCAACCCCATCTTTCTTTTCTCTTGCCCTCTGATCTGAACTCCTCTCCCCAAAGTCATGAAAGGGAGACACTAAAGGGAGACACAGGAGTCTCAAAGTGGCCGATCCAGTTGAGTTTTGACATGTGTGCTTTACCAATTCAAAGTGCGGGCAAACTTGGTGGGGATGAAAAGGATTTGGTATTGGGGTCTGTACAGTGAAGTGAATGCTGGAGTCAGCCTGAGAGAGCTTGGGCAATTAACCTCTGCCTGTTTCCTCATCTGTGAAATGAGGATACTCCCTGCCCCCCATAGGATTGTGATAACATGGACATGAGGTTGGATAACCTGGACATGCGACTGAGTCCTTACGGAAACGCGCTCTGCAGCCTCCACCCTGCACTGGTAGAACACCATCCTAGGAAAGTCTGTTCCCAGGCCCCAGAGTAAGTCCTGGAAAGCGAGCACCATTGGGCCAAGGAAAATCCCCCTCTCCAGACAGGCTCTTCCCTACCTCCATCCTAGCAAGTTATGTCAAGCTGAGTGCTTAGGACTAACACACTGATAAGTGCTATAAAAATGCAGAGGGAAGTGTCAACCTCAAAGCTTCCAGCACACTAAACAAACCAGAACCGTTCCCTGGAACTCCATAGAGCAGCTGGGGCCTCTCGCAGAGCTGCCCACACCTAGCTTCTTGTACCTTCTCCTGCTGCCTGCCCGACACTACCGAGTGGAGAGGGAAAGGAACGTGGCTCATGAGTTCATGGAAATGAAATCTCTCGGCCGGGTGTGGTGGCTCACGCCTGTACTTCTCAGCACTTTGAGAGGCCGAGGTGGGCAGATCACTTGAGCCCAGGAGTTCCAGGCCAGCTTGGGCAACATGGTGATCCTCCCATCTCTACCAAAAACTACAAAAATTAGCTAGGCATGGTGGCATGCTCCTGTAATCCCAGCTACTCAGGAGGCGGAGATGGGAGAATCACTTGAACCTGGGAGGCCGAGGTTACAGTGAGCCAAGATCGTGCCACTGCACTCCAGCCTAGGTAACAGAGTGAGACCCTGTCTCAAAAATAAAAATTTTTTAAAAAGAAAGAAAATAAATGAAATCTCACCTCAAACAGACAAACCACAAAAGATTTGGACAATTTACATAATGGGACAGCCAATCACAAGGTATTCATCGGCCGGTTACTATGAGCAAGCCCCAAGTGAGGCACTGCAGGGCTCAGCTGGGTGCACAGACCCCTCCAGGTGCTCTCCTTCCCCCTGGGCCACCTGAGCAGCTCTGAGATTTGAGACCACAGTAGACGGACAGCCAGAGAAAGGGCTGCAGGGTCCATGTGCACCTGGATCCAGGATACATACGTGTGCAGTGCACAGGACACGATGCCCCTCACCACTTCGACTTTGACCCTCTGTGCAGCTGGGTGGCTACGCCCCATCTCCATGGTCTGGATCTCTGCAGCTGCCAGGAACAAGCAGCTGTGAGGTGTCAGAGCTTGGTCCGTCCTGGCCATTCAATCCCTTCAGGTAGCTTTTTTCTTTTCTTTTTTTTTTTTTTTTTTTTGAGAGAGAGAGAGAGAGAGTCTCGCTCTGTCGCCCAGGCTGGAGTGCAGTGGTGAAATCTTGGCTCACGGCAATCTCTGCCTCCCAGGTTCAAGCGATTTTCCTGCCTCAGCCTCCCAAGTAGCTGAGACTACAGGCGCCCACCACCACGCCCTGCTAATTTTTGTATTTTTAGTAGAGACGGGGTTTCACCATGTTTGCCAGGCTGCTCTTGAACTCCTGACGTCAGGTGATCCACCCTCCTCGACTTCCAGAGTGCTGGGATTACAGGTGTGAGCCACCACACCTGGCCTAATTTATCTTTTCACAGACTTTATTTTAGAGCAGTTTTAGCTGTACAGAATAACTGCACAGAAAGTACAGAGTTCCCATATGCCCCCTTCCTCCCCTGCGAGCAGTTTCTCCTATGATTAGCTTCCTACGTTCATGTGCTTCAACTCTTGCAACTGATGAACCAACACCGCACTGTTGTTACTAGCAGAAGTCCACACGTCAGGGTTTGTGTGTTGTGCGTGCTGTGGGTTTTGACAAATGCACAGTATCATGTACACACCATCCAGTATCATGCCTCCTGTGTATTTTCAGTGCTGGGGCCAAAAGAAATCTTTCGCGGGTAGAAAAAGAGAAGGCTTTAGAATTTTACCACAGATGTCAGGCTTAGATTAGGTCAAGAAGGTCAGTATGAAGATGGCTCTGATGAAGAATCAGGAACTACAGGCGGCGTAGGTGCTGGTGGCTGGGGATGAGGCCGAGAACCACCCATCACCCTTGCCACAGTGCCGCCAGGCAGGTCCCTCCACATAAGCCACCCTCTTGCCTCTGCTTTGGGACCAACAAACCCCATGGCCTGGAAGGGCCTCATCCTGTGGCCACGGGGTTTGGTGGCCCCAAAGCAGAGGCAAGAGGGTGGCCTACGGTGCCCCACCGTGGGCACCGGCTGGTCAGATCTGAGTCTGCAATTGGAGAAGCTTCCTGCCCTCGGGAGAGGAAGGCTCAGGACACCTGTGGGCAGCAGGTCAGGCTCCGCCCTGCATTGTGAGCAAGCCCAGGCCTGCATAACTTAGATCCAAAGCTACACAGTGAGGCCTGCTCCGCTCTCCTGGGTGGTTGCAGTGGACCCCTCAATTCTCCCACATTTGAAGAAGTGGGCATCCTCCTGGTGGTCTGGGCGCTGCTCCAGGCTCCTGCCCCTTGCTCGCTGGGTGACCCTGGGCAAATCTACACCACCTCACTTTGGCTTTCAGTTTCCTCGCCCATAAAACGGGGACCATCCTAGTATCACCTAATAGTAGATGAGTTGCAAAGGCTGGGGCAGATGACCCGGCTCCTTCCACCATACCTGGCACACTGAGGCACTCAATGCATATTGATACATGTTACTGGAATCCCAGTGGCCCCGGGTCCAGCCACTGGTCAGCTGTAATGTCAAAGGACAGGACTCAGGGCTTCAAGAGGCTCTTCACACTGTGCATTGTGGGGAGCTCACCTGAGCAGCAAGCAGACGCAGGACAGCTGGAGGTGACCAGGAATCAGAGGTGGCGGCTCCAGGCGACAGAAAGAACTAGAATTCAGGCCACTAGAGTTCACACTCAGCTATGTTGCTCAGAGGGAATAGGGGCCCCACAGCATTCCTTTCACACCTGACTTCCCTGACTGGGACAAAGGAGTTTGTTAGGGTAGTGCTTCCCAGAGACGTGTGCACTGAAGCCCTGGGGATCATGGTAATATTTGTGCTGATTCTGTGGGTCTGGGGTGCGGCCAGAGAGTCTGCATTTCTAAAAAGCACCCTCCCAGGTGTGCTCATGCCTCTGGTCCACAGAGCACGCCTGGTGTCTTAAGCAAGATCAGGACTGTATCTAAGGCTGTTTCCCACCCCTCGCCTCCCAGAACCACTCTATTCATCCTTCAGCCCCAAAGTCACAGCATCCCACTGTAAACCCTCTGCATGCCTGTCCTCGCTCCCCCATCTCCCAGTTCACAGTTCTGTCGCAGTCAGTTCTTACCAAATCACAGGAGCCTGCTCTAGGCCCGGGCCTGTGGGCCCTGAGATACCATGGAAATGCAAAGGCAAGTCTCCACCTTCAGGCAGTGTAGGGTCTGGCTGATGAGACCGTCACTTTGACCACACCGCTGTTCACCCCACAAGCGAGAGCACCCTGGGGAAAGCCAGGGTCTGTGTCTCTTTCATTCTCTGCCCCGTGCCTGGTACAAGGTCTGAGGCAGAGACGGACTATGGACAGCAGGTAGTTTGCTCCACGTGTGTTCGCAATTCCTGTGCTCAGTAGGGAAACTGACATGGGCATGGTGCTTGAAACCATCACATTTCATACTAATGCTACATTTTCTTCCAGTCATTGCCATCTGGACACATACAAGGAACTTTTGAACTGGCAAATAAAGAAGAAAACAGAGAAAAAAACAGATATCCCAACATCCTTCCCAGTAAGATTTTATTTTATGTTTTGCATGATCGATGGTGTTTGCACTAAACTCAGCTTTGCCTTGCAGCTCCCCATGACTGCAGGCCATTCCTGTGCTCAGAGGCCAAAGATTGAGGCCCCAAATCTGTCTAACTGCTCAGCATTTGCACCTAGGACTCCAGAATGTTCCTCTCTAGGTGGCATCTCCCCGCACAGGCCCTGGGCACCTTGGTTGCTGGTGGGTCTGGCTGCCCACAAGCCTGTGCTTACTGTTGAGACCTGGCCTGCTTGGGGCCCAGCAGGTAAGGGTGCTGTTTCGTGGCCATGGGTGCCAGCTGGCAGGGCCTCTCCTATGGAACTCAGGCCTGGCACCCAGTCTAGGCCTGCGAGTGGCCCTGGGCAACTCCCTTCCCTCAGGCTCAGTGCTTGTGGCCACAAACTACAAATCCCTAGAGTTGTCTGGGGTCCTGGACCAAGGACAAAAATGACAGAATATGAAACTTGTAGGTGGGCCGCAGCTTTGTAGGAAGGCTCTGAATCGACCTGATGTAACCCCAACAGTACAAGTGGGCATGGGCTGGGAAGCGTGGGTGCCAGGAGGTGGCAGGGCCAGGGAGCAGATGGATGTGTGCGGGGGCGTGTCTCGGTGACCTGGGGGCAGCTTTCACAGCCTGTCTTGGTGCCAAGACAAACCCTGTAGGTTCTGAGCCGCCTTTGTAAGAGCTGGCCTGGGCCAGGTGCTGTGGCTCATGCCTGTAATCCTAGCACTCTGGGAGGCCGAGGCAGGTGGACCTCCTGAGGTCAGGAGTTCAAGACCAGCCTGGCCAAGATGGTAAAACCCCATCTCTACTAAAAATACAAAAAATTAGCCGGGCATAGTGGTGGACGCCTGTAACTCCAGTTACTTGGGTGGCTGAGGCAGGACAATCTCTTGAACCCAGAAGGCAGAGGTTGCCATGAGCCAAGATCACGCCATTGCACTCCAGCCTGGGGAGCAAGAGCAAAACTCCATCTCAAAAAAAAAAAAAAAAAAAAAGAGCTGGTCCAGCAGCAGGGGTTAGGGGGTGCAGTTCGGGATCCTTCACCCCACCTGGGCCCCTCCCCTCGTCTGCTTTGCCCATGAGGCTAACAAAATGGCATCCTCAAAGGGCTCCACTAAGTTCAGGTCTAAATCCTGAACCTGCAGCCTCCCCCTGGTCCACAGAGGGAGTCACCCCATCCTGCCAGGGCTTCGGTGGGATGGAGGAAGGCAGCCCATGTGTGCCCCGGAAGGCTGTTCACTGCTGCATTTTTCGGACTAGAATTGACTTCACCTGCTCTGTATGTCAGAGCAGCTACGGTCTGTCGATCTGTGGTCTGTCCAAACTGTGCACTTTTTAGAAATAACTCTGTCTCATTTTACATGCATAAGATTGACACGTGGTTTTTACAAAACCCGTTGTGAACCCATGATCCAGTGAAAACTGGGAGAAATCCGTCAAATAGTTCTTTCAGTCAATATATATGTGTAGGGGTGGCCAAGGCAACACCAGAAAGACAGGTCAGGAGGCCATGTGGTGGTCACACAGCTGAGCCTTGACAGTGGCTCAGACCGGGCTAGATTCTGCACACTTTGGAGGGGATTTGTTGCCAATGGGTGGAAGATACCACAGAAAGAGGGGAGGTAACTTACATGGCTTGAGCAGCTCAAAGGAAAGGAAGGCCGTGGCAGGAGGAGGTCTGAGATCTTTAGAATAATTTGTGTCAAATGTGGGATATTTAGAAATTCGTATCAATGCTTAATTTATTACCTTAATTGAGTGGTTTTAAGTTGTGCCTTGATTTGCCAGCCATACGTGTTAAGAAACTGCTCAGTGCTAAGCACATTCCTGAATTCCTCATTTCTCTCAATCAGTAAACCTTCATCCCTTAAAGGTAACATCATATTGTTAATTAAGACTATTTATTTGGGACCTCCATGGAAGCAGAATCATGGCCAAGTGTGGGCATTATGTACGCCCAGTCCCCTCCTCAAGGTGTGATGGCCCAGGGCAGAGCAGGGGCCTCACCTGGGAGCCCCCACCTGGAAGAGGCCCAGCCCACCCACTGCAAGTCTTCTCTGAGCCGCGTTCTCTAGGTTGTGCTACGGGAGTCAATTAGCGTTTCCTCCAAGCCTGAAAGCGTAGTCAGATTCAGAATGGGTTTTTCTAGCTTCCCCCGTAAGATCTTTCCCCTATTCCTGGGAGGAGCAGCACACCGTGGGAACCCCAGGACCCAGGCAGCCTCTTGGGGCTGGGGGACTCTGCCGTGTTTCACGCGGGTGGAAAGACGGGTTTACAGAACCGTGGCTTGGAGACACTGTGGCCTGGCATGGATTAATGGGGTGGTATCTGGCATTAGCTATCAGGAAGACTTAAGGCTGAAGGGACATCGGGCAGGGAGCTCTCGGGGCTGCTCCATCTGCCCCCAGGGTGACAGCCCCTAGTATCACTTAGGGTGGGACTGAGAGTCACCTGGGGGAGAGGGGAGAAGGAACCCAACTTCCCCAGCCCCTGGCACCTTCCCTGCCTTTCCGAATCTTTCAACAGAGTCCTAACGTGGCCCTTGGCTCTGGGCAGGCCTGTGGCCCTGGGGAGCTCTGGGCTCAGAAGTCAAGGTGCTTTGCAGGTCAGGCAGGCTTGACTTTTGCCTATAGAAAGACTGTGGCTGATGGCAAGCGAGGCCTCTTTTCTGGAAAAGTGCCAACAGCTGATAATTTTAGGAACTAATGTTTTGAATGTGAAGTGTGACTTTTTAGAATAAAAAGACAGGAAGCTCTTAGAAACTGCAAGATTCTAAATCTAAGCAGAAGGCTATATTTTACCCTGTGCTTTTCTATAGCTGTTCTCAAAGCATAAACCATTCCAAATTATTTTCAACTAGTGTAATGTGTTCAGCAGAGCTATTTCTGCCTGGGCATTGCCGCTCCCTGAGCAGGAGGGTCTCACAGTGAGGTCTGCAAGACTGTAAGTTTGGGGTCTGACCCCCTGGCCACCCTGTGTGGGCTATGGCTGTCTCTGAGAGCGGCACCTGCCCTTTCTCTGCAGGGAGCCAGACAGAGCTGGCTCAGCCATCAGGGGTCCCAGGCCACTAGCCCGTGGCCCGCCCGGCAGCCTTCCAGGTGAAGGTGAGACAGACAAGGCATGACCTGGGGGCCACCCGACTCCCCATCGCAAACACCACAAACACACACAAACGCCACAAACACAACCCACCCTGATCGAGGACTAAGCAGAGAAAGCAGGGAGAGGACCTAGAGTTACTCAACAATGAGGAAGGAGGCTCTAACTTCTACCACGTGCCAGACTCTGTGCCCAGTGCAGCATAAACGTCCTCAGAACAGGCCTTGTCCCAGCCTGGCCCAGCCGGACGTTCCTGGGAAAGGTCACAGAAAGAGCAGGGCCAGGCCCACAGCACTTTTAGAGGCCCATGAAAACGTCTTCATTTCTCTTCAGATCACACACAAAATATGCAAAACCCATTCTGGAGTGCATCTTTTCACTAGCGACCAACCCAGTCCTCAGATAACCTTCTTGATAATTCCATGAAGGAAGCTGGGAAGGCAGAAGTGACTGCGACCCACAAAAGTCATGATGGAGCCCTGACGTGTGTGTACACACATACTACACACACACATACACTGTACACACACACTACACACACCAAACATACACACTCCACACACACCACACACTACACACAAATACACTACACACACACTACACACATGCACATCACACACTACACACAAATACACCACACACACACCACACACTACACACATACACAACACACACACTACGCATACACACCAAACCCACATGCATTCACACAGCACACTACACACACACTACACACATGCACACCACACACACTACACACATACACCATACACACCATACACACATACACACACACACCACACATACACACCCACATGCACACCACACACACATACACGCCACACTCACTACACACATACCACACACACTATACCACACACTACACACCACACACAACACACTCATACCAAAGTATACACCACACACACATCATACACACGCTACACCACTCATACCACAAAAATACACACAGCACATGCCACACTTACATACTCACAGATACCACAAACGCACAACACACAACATGCTAGCACCAGTATACACACCACACACATCAGGCTCACACACTACACCAGTCACACCACAAACATCCAGACGCGCACACACACCCCACACACAGCACTCCATGGCCAGCCTTCCACCCCAGAAAACCGCTTGTGCAACAGGCTGGATCTACCAGGCACTCCTCACTGTGCTCTCCTTCCAGCTCTGGGACAGACTCTGGTGGTGGGACTGAGGGTTAGAGTCCCCGATCTTAGACCCCCACATCCACTTGTCCTCATGGGGCTGGTGCTCATTTCCCGGGGAAGCCTTGGAGAGTGGACCCAGTTCTTCTGTCCTGGGACTCTTTTAAGTGCATCCACACTTGGCAATACTGAGGCCCAGTGCACGATTCATGAAATACAGCCCTTGCACTGCAGGGGCCCGGCACGTTCTGCTGTTCTTGTCTGTGTAATGACCCAGTGGCCTCCGTCCTGGGGACTGAAATCCTACCCTTGTCGGCATCCCACAGCTGAGACAGTCTGTGTTCACCAAAGCAGGTGCATTCTCTCTTGGGACACCAGTGGTCTCCATGGGAACGTTGAGGAAGAACATCTCTGCCACCCCAGGTGTGGCCGCGAAGCTACTTTTCCCCTTCCCAGGAGCTGACACTGCAGATGAAGAGACAGCACTGTGATTCCTGGTCCTAATATCTTGGCTTTGTTTGGGTTTTTTCCAGATGACCATTCTAGGGTGATTCTGAGCCAAGTGGATGGAACTCCCTGTTCGGACTACATCAATGCTTCCTACATAGATGTAAGTGGGCAGAGGTTTCCTATTCCCCTAGCCCAGCTGAGGCATGACCAGTGAGCACTTTCTTGTCTGGTGCCAGGAGTGTAAATTGTCACAACCTTTCTGGGCAGTTTGGCCACAAGCACAAAGGGCACGGAACTGCCCGTGCTTTACAAGCTAGCATCAGCATCTGGGAATTTGACTTCGAGAGACAGAGATAAGCACAGAGGATGTTCATTGCAGCATTATGTATATTCCTGACCAAATAGAACAGGAAGCATGGGCAGTTAAACAGATTGTGGTAAAACCATGTGCAGTGGATTACTAGAACTCCATTTGTATTGATCTTTAAGAGATCATTTAATATAAATTATAAAATTCTCATTAAAAATACAACATAAAATAAATTGTACATGTTCACCCAATTAGAGGACAGAAATGTCTGCATATGTCTGCTTGTGTGTGAGTCTGGGAAAGGTTTTGCAGAAAAACAGACTAGAGAGGGGATGTATGAAATAAGATTTGTTATTTCTGGAATTGCTGGTGAGTTTTCTTTTCTTCTTAACATTTTCCTGTGTTTTGCAAATTTTCCATGGTGAATATGTATTGCTTTTCTAACAGCAACGACAACAAATCCTTTCAGCAAAGATAATTCTGAAAAAATATAAATCTGATGTTATTTTTTCTAGGGTTACAAAGAGAAGAATAAATTCATAGCAGCTCAAGGTAAGCTTTTTATTAATTTCTGAACGTATTTGTGGTAAAATGATGTGAATAGCTCTTATTTCCTTGTCTGTAGGCCAACAAGACCAAGGACTTCCATTGGATTTTTGTGCATGTGTTTACACCTAACAGACACGTTAGATATCCATTCACACAACGGATATGTGTAGACAGTCAGAGAAACACACACTTATTCCCACACCTATACGGTGTGAACACAGGGCATGCAGTGGCCCCGGCTGCCATTCCAGCATGTTAATACTTGCATCAGGTAACCCTGAATTTCTCTCAGCTGGCTGAGCCCTACATGGCCCCAAAGTTTGGGGGTGGGTAGTAGGGTGAGTAGCTTTTCAGATCAAGGCCATAACCAAGAAGATACTTCAGCCGTGAAAACATGCCCTTCACCTTGCACAGGGCTAGCTCTCCCTTGTGTGCTGAGTACTGAATCCAGCATCACTCCGTTCCACCAGAGGTTGTCATCTGCACGACCTGGTGCACATGCAGTTAGGTATCAGTGGAGCTGAAACCAGATTCCTCAGACTTCCTCACTCTTAGGCCAGGAGTCTTTAGGGCAGTGAGCTCTGAAATTCAGCGTGTGTCAAAATCACCTGGGAAGTTGGTAGAAATGCAGAATCTCTAAGAAAAAAGGACATGCATGTGCACACGCAGAGGACATCGGGAATGTGCCTAGCTGGAAACCTCGGGAAACCTGATGATCCTGGCTGAAACAGATGAAAGCATGTGTTTCTCTCTTGCCAGCAGACACCCACAGGGAGCCAGGCCAGAGTGGGACAGCAGCAGGGCCAGGGGCTTCCTTATCTCCCGGCCCATCCCCCTCAGCATGAAGCGCTTAGCTCGGGGCTGCAAAATAGCAGCAGCTCAGACAGGAAGTGGACAGGGGCAGAGGACTTTCTTCTAGTGATACTTTGTCTGTTGTTCAGATCCCTTCCCAGGGACTTTAGCTCATATCGTATTGAACAGCACCATGCTGAGAGTAAGATTTTGACAAAGAAGAGGGGATTGGGAATGCAGGGGGAGGCCGGCCAGTCTCTGCCTCTCCCAAGGCTTTCACCAGCTCTCCCACACTTGGCTGTGGACCCAGCCCTCCTCTGAACCCTGCTTCTTACCTGTGAATGTCATAACTCAACCTGGGCCCAATTATCTTGCCTACCGAGGAGTTCCTAGCTGGAGTGGGTGAGTGGCAGGACAGGCAGCCCCTACCGGTTCTGGAACACTTCAGGGCATGACATGTGTGTCCCCAACAAGCCTGAGAAGGGAGTGAACAGCTATCCAGGGACCAGTGGCCCGGGTGCTGGGGCTGGGACCCCAAAGCGACTTCCCTTCGTGCCTTTTGACTTCGGAATTGTCCTGTACACACAGGCCCCAAACAGGAAACGGTTAACGACTTCTGGAGAATGGTCTGGGAGCAAAAGTCTGCGACCATCGTCATGTTAACGAACTTGAAAGAAAGGAAAGAGGTGAGTTCCAGGCATCTGACCCCGGTATCACTTCCTTTCAGCTGCTGCTGCCGGGCTGGGGATGTTCTTACCACTTCCTCTTCCTACTTCCCTCCCTTCCTCCCACTATCACTGCAGAGAGCACCCAAACACATGCAGTGGCTGACAGCATTTTCATCACGAAACAAATCCCCTGTCTCCCCAGCATCTCACTGTTATCTAATCTGTGATAACACGATGACACAAGAGTTTCCTTTTTTTCCCAAGTGAGAGTGGCCCCTGGCCGGCCCCAGGCTCTGCCTGCCTGATGGGAGACACGAATCTTAGAAGTTAGAATTTTAGGATGTTGAGCATGTCATGCGGTAGACCTCAGACTAGAAATGAACATGATTTCACGCTTATTATCCAGACTAGAGAAATGCGTTTGAAAAACATGGTATATTGAAGAAATGTTGATTTGTCATCCAAATATATTTAATTAGCTGTTTCTAATTCAAAAAAGGATGCATGTACATTATAAGAATTTGCATCATTGACAAAGAAGAAAAGTTGAACTGATTCGTTTCCTAATGTAACAAGTACTCATTAGCATCTGCTGTGCTGGGCCAGCTCTGTCCCAGGTGCAAGGAATGGGGGCTCAAATTCAGGGCTGAGAAGTGGGGGCTGTGGGAAGCCTGTGGCGGGGGCGGGTGTTGAGTGATGGGCAGGGAGCCATGCCATAGGCAGTGAGCTCACTCTCCAGAATGAAAGAAGAACTGGGAGCCGGAGGGACACTTGCCACAGGTGGGGCGACAATTAGGAGGCTGTACTTCTGGTGTGTTCTGGCTTGAAGGCCCAGTTCAGCGGGAACCATGTGTCCTGCCCAGCCCCGCTCAGGGCCTGCTGTGTCCTGAGCTCCTCAGTCATCCACTGGCCTGGCCCCAGCAGTTCCCAGGCATCGTAGCAAGGACTGTGGGGAAGGGCTGCCATTTTTAGATGGGACTGCCAGGCCGTAGGGAACTCAGCTGGGGCAGAAGATGGGTGGCAGGCACCCACAGGAAGGGCAGGCTGGGAGGTGCTCTGGTCCCCACAGTGCCAGCTTACTAATTGCCACCCAAAACACAGGAAGCAGCCTCCAGCCACCGTTTCTGGTCAGGAATAGGATGGGGACTTTCATTCTGCTCTCGGGGGAGCTGAAACAGGGCCGTGGAGGGCCACCCCTTTGCCCTTGCAAATCTTGCCTCTGTCATCCTTTGTCATGGGGAAGAGTGACAGAGGGAAGTAGGGGATTCCCAGCACAGGGCTCTTCACCCTACCTGCGCTGTAGCGGCCATGGAGGAGGACACCCACACGAGGGAAAAGGAGGCTGACCCTTCTCCAGGAGTCTCCCTGTGACCTGCGGCTCATAGGACCAGTCTTCCTGGGGCTGGTGCTCCAAGCATGAGACCAGCACAGAAGCAGTGGGGCTCAAGGACGCCCCCGCCTCCCCCTTTCAGTCATTCTGCTGAAAATGTCACTGGCATTTTCTCTCCATCTTCCTCCATAGCCTCCTACTGGATTTTTCCACTCCTGTGACTCAGTGCTGGGCTGCTGCCGCATCCTGATTCTCACCAATTCAGATGAAATCATTTCTCAATAGAGTTCCCTTTTTCTTAATTGCTCACACTTCTGTTGTGGTTTCCTTGGCTTCCACATCCTGGGCTCTGCATTGCAAAACACAGCTGCCCTGGCATCTCATGATCGGGTGGGAGGGAGGCAGAGGGAGGGGGTATGAAACCAGCCACCAACACTGAGCCCTTGAGAGGCTGAGACACGTTCTCAGTTCCTACCGGAGAGCCTTCCAATGTGAGAAGCTCAGGAGGGTCCCCAGGGCTCCCCATAGGGCCAAGACTTGCCCAAACCGGGACCTGTAGGCATTTGCAGTTCCCCTGGGCTGCATCAGAGATGCCCTGTGACCCGCAGCCCTGCCCGGAGCCAGGAGTAGGGAGGGGGAAGTTGTCCGTGGCCGTCATAACACGATGCTGCTCTCTACTAAATACCAGATGCTGTTTGTTTCATAAGATTGTTAATTCTGGAGTCTTGACCATGAGCTGTGCTGCTCAGGGGCCACTCCCTGGACATGCTCTCTGATGATTGGCAGGCTTGTTCCATTCCAGAGATGTTTATCTGGCAGATGAAGTAGATCTTTTCCCCCTTGAGGTGGGTCCTCGTTCACTCGTGAAGTCCACGCTGATGGAGGACACCAACGGGCAGGTGCTGCGCACGGTGCTGCAAAATGAAAGGGCTCCTGGAACATGTATTTTGGGTCATTCTTGCTTCAGAGTTTGGGGTAAAGAAATGGGCCTGTCTGTAGCAATGCACCCTTGTGAAGTCCACGTTGATGGAGGACACCACCGGGCAGGTGCTGCGGGCGGTGCTGCAAAATGAAAGGGCTCCTGAAACGTGTATTTTGAGTCATTCTTGCTTCAGAGGTTGGGAAGGTAAAGAAATGGGCCTGTCTATAGCAATGCACCCTCTTCTGCAGACTCCACGGCAGCCTCGTCCCTGCTAGAGAAAAATGAAGATCATTAGGCCAATCACAGGTTCATCACTCTTGAACGGCAGACTGGCAGTGGTGCAAATTAACTTTGTCCTTAGTGAACTGAGCAGGAAAAACACAAATTGCTGAATCCAGTGGGAAATGCCTGGGGAAGCACCGTCCTTGCCCTCTGGCCTGAGGGTCATTTGGAGTTAGGTACCCAGCTCTGAAGGTTACAGGTTCAGCATGACTGGTTGATGGTCAGTTAATAAAATGTATGGGATTCGTGAATAATGAAGAGATGAGACATTGTTGGTGTCTACATCAGAAAGCCTTGGGGCGTCCTAGCCATAGTCTCAAGGCTGCCTTTCACCAGTTATGCAGCCTCAGCTTCCCCATTCATGAGGTGGACACACGTGAACTTGCTGTTTCTCAGCTGTGGGAGCTGTGTGACTCCAGCTGGTGTGTGTGAGGCCTTCTGTGGTTGGGTGGAGGGATGTCATGATACATTGCACCCACGGATCTATTTGCTTCTATTAAATTGTTCTGTGCAGGAAAAGTGCCATCAGTACTGGCCCGACCAAGGCTGCTGGACCTATGGAAACATCCGGGTGTGCGTGGAGGACTGCGTGGTTTTGGTCGACTACACCATCCGGAAGTTCTGCATACAGCCAGTAAGCATCTCTTGTTGCTGACCTTCCAGAAAGATCATTCTCAGAGAGCATGATGCCCAGAGTTAACACCCTTCTGCATTTATGAAGTGCTTTACTCCCACCCCGGCACTGTCGCAGCCCTGGCTCAGAGGGTGCAGTGGCCAGGCTGTGCTGGGCAGATGTGCAAGTGGGCCAAGACACCAGAGGCCGGTGCACAAGGGTCTACAGGCAGTGCTGGGGGCTCCTAATTCCCAGCGACTCCTCTGGACCTCTCCAGGAAGAAGACCAGTCATTGGAGGGGTCTGGGGTCCTCCCTCAGTAGCACAGTGACATTTCACACACTGGAACTGGGAGGCGGGGTTTTTTCTAACACGTTTCTAACACGTTTTGAATTATGTCTGAAATGTCCTCGTTATTTTCCACACTTGGGTCCTGCTAGTTCCACCACCCCAAAGGGTTTAAGAGAGAGATCAGTAAAAATATCTGTGTACAAAGCAGATGAAATCAAGATATAGAAGAAAGTTTAAAACCATAGAGAAAAGACAGAAGACCATTTTGTCAGGATTTAAAGATAGAGTGATTGGCATAATTAGGTCACAAAATAAGTGTCTAAGATTCCAAGAAACCACAGCAAAAAAGGAAAAGGATGAGCTGATCATTCTCATTCTATCCCTTGCTCCCATCTCTCCCAAATGTGCACACAGGCATGCACATGCACACATGTACACACATACTCCCACCCACAGGCACACATATGTACACATGCACACACACCCACACACATGCACACATGCACACACATACACCCACACACAGGCACACATATGCACACATGAACACACCCATACACAGGCATGCATATGCACACATGCACACATACCCACACACAGGTATGCATATGCACACACATCCACACATAGGTGCATACATGCACACACCCCCACACACACAATTGTACACATGCACAGTCACATTCACATATGTACACACACACCCCACACACACGCACACATTCACACAAGTGCGCACACACCCACACACATAACACATGCACACACGTGCACACATGCACACACATGCACACATTCACATGTGTGCACATATGTGCACACACACATACACGCACACAGATGCCCACATGCACACATTCACACATGTGCACACACACACCCACACACATACACGCACATTCACACAAATTCACACACATACATACACACACATTCACACAAGCACACGTGCATGCACATTCACACACGTGCACACACATACACTCACACACACGCACATGGGTGCACACATGCATGCACATTCACACACACGTGCACATAAACATGCATATATGTGTACGCATACATTCATGCGTGTGCATGTGCATACACCCGCACACATACACACATGCACACATGCACACGTATCTACTTCTAAATACACTGTGTATCACCTTCTGTGATCTAGGCAAGGGAATTAAACTCATGGTCTCTGGGTCCGAAAACTGAGACAGCCTTTGAGGGCAAGTCTGGGAGTCTCCAAAGAGCAGGCCGACTGTATCGTCTGTCCTCCCAAATGTAAGACAGCTTTGCACAAGGAAGGATGTGCTGTTGGTGATTACTCAGCACCACAAGCACCGGGTGGGACTGTCCAGGCGAAATGGGCCATGACCGCCCACTTGCATGGGGGTCTGTGAGCACGCAGACCAGCTTTGGGGATGAGTCTGGCTGCCTGGGTCCTGCCCGACCTGGGCATGGACGGTTGCTGCGGGCCCTGCCCTGTGGCCCCCAAACCAGCACATGTTCCAAGTTGGCAGGGGTAAGGGCCAGGCTGTCTCGCTCAGGCAGGCCCCCTGTAGATGGGCCCCTCCCCCATGCAGCCCCAGCACAGGGGAGCCCACCACATCCTCAGAATGAGATGCTGGGGAAGTGGGGGGGGATTGTTGTACCCACTCTCATCTCCCCATGTCCCCCGCAGCAGCTCCCCGACGGCTGCAAAGCTCCCAGGCTGGTCTCACAGCTGCATTTCACCAGCTGGCCCGACTTCGGAGTGCCTTTTACCCCCATTGGGATGCTGAAGTTCCTCAAGAAAGTAAAGACGCTCAACCCCGTGCACGCTGGACCCATCGTGGTCCACTGTAGGTACGCTGGGGAGCCACGGGGTGGGACCCTCAAGGGCAGGCCACAGTGGGAGGACTCACCCTCATGGGCAATGCCAGGGGACCAATATCAGGGTGGGCAGAGGTTTGGGCAGGGCTGATGTGAACACAAATGTCAGTGACTGAGCCAGGCCCCAAGAACCCTACAGGAGAACGCTCAGAGAGCTCCCTCTTCATCCCAGCCGATAAAACCCACCAAAGCCAAGGGGCTCCGGTTGATGGTGGGAATGGAGTTCTGGGAGGTTCTTGGCCACCCTCACCTCTCCCTGGGAATCCCAAGTCACCTCTGGGAACCAAGATGGAAACCAGGGAAACTAGGCTTCTGCAGGAAGCCCCCCAACAACGCACAAGTCCTTATGGAAGAGCACACCACGACTCGGACTGGCTCCCACAGCAGAGTCCTCCAGACCACGCTGTCCTGGAGACCAGGGTCCGAGGACCAGGCTGCCCTTTGCCAGCTGCCGCTTCATCCTCGGTTTCCTCGCCTGTGATGGGAAGGACAGCCTCGGAGGCCTGTGACTTGCATCTGGGTGGGCTTTGCACAACACGAAAAATTACTCCAATGTACAGCCAAGGCCACGCCACAGCCCCCTGTCCACAGAGAGCCCCACTTGTTCCTGGCAGTGATTGGCCTCACCAGGGTATCACTTTGATTAGATACTCAGTGTCCAGCTGTTACAGACAGATTCATCCTGAGTATCACAGCACTGCCAGGGACAAAAGCCACCTGCACGCCGTGATGCAGGTGCTCTGCACCTGTCATGCAGCTGTTCAGGAGAAGCTGTCCAGGAACCCTGGCAGAACCGGCTTTCCCCAAGTCTGAGCAACGCTCCCTTGCTGGGGCCAAGCAGAGGCTGGGCCCCACCCGACCCCCTCTCCAGTGTAGCCCATACTGGGAGGACTCTGCAGGCTCAGAGAACAGTAATCTGACAGATGCTGCCCCATTTAATGCCCCGAGTCAGGGGACCTGGTTTGCCCGGTTTGACAGAGCGGGAGGCTGGATCCCAGAGCTGTTGTATAGTTGATCTGAGGTCCCCTCTGCTCCCAAGGGGGCAGATCTAGGATGCCAATCACACATATAAGAAGACACTGTTTAGCAAATGAGAAAAATTCTCCGCGCAGCCTAATCCAGGGCTTACTGCACCAGCTGTTCATGTGCCTCTTAGTAGAGTGTTCGTGGCTATCAGAGGATCGGCGTGAGATCACTTTACTGAGACCGCAGCTCCCTCTGGTGGCCTCACTATGGCTTTGCTCTTAATTAACCAAGAAAAAGGTTGCATCGAGTGACCTGGGTGCGCAGGCATCTTGGGACCTGTCATTTACTTCGGGAGGAGTGTGACTCACGACGCAGCATCTTTCTCTTTCCCCAAAGCGCGGGCGTGGGCCGGACGGGCACCTTCATTGTGATCGATGCCATGATGGCCATGATGCACGCGGAGCAGAAGGTGGATGTGTTTGAATTTGTGTCTCGAATCCGTAATCAGCGCCCTCAGATGGTTCAAACGGACGTGAGTCATGCCTTCCTCTTGCCCTGGTCTAGCCTCCCAAAGCAAACCCAGATGCCTTGGCCACACAGGCGTACAGGGCCCTGGCTCTGATGGGCACGTGGCAACCGGCCTGGGTCTGGTCTGGCTTCCCTCCCCATAGCTTTCCCTGCCCATGCGTGGGACCTTGGGGCTCCCTCATCCTCATCTTTCCCTTGTATCCTCATGGGAGATGGGGCATCCTACTCCCCCAAACGGCGCATGTGCACAGTGCCTGTCATGCTCACTGATGTGAGGCTCTGCTGCTACCGTTCTCCTTACTCAAGGGCATAAGTGGTCATTATCCATGGCCGGTACTCTGCCTCTTGCCCCACACCTCCTTGTGTTGGCAAAAAGAGAAAGAGAGCCGCCCCCTTTGTTCTGCCAAGCTCCACGTGGGCCAAAGCTGCAGGGCAGAGCTGAGGATGTGGTCACCCCCGGCCTCTCTGCAGATGCAGTACACGTTCATCTACCAAGCCTTACTCGAGTACTACCTCTATGGGGACACAGAGCTGGACGTGTCCTCCCTGGAGAAGCACCTGCAGACCGTGCATGGCACCACCACCCACTTCGACAAGATCGGGCTGGAGGAGGAGTTCAGGGTGAGTATGGCTGACCCTCCTCTCCATTCTGGTGTAAGCAGCCAAGGACACGGAGAAAACAGGTGACCATTTAAAGGAAGCCTCTTTCAATCACTTTCCCTCTTAACTGACCCTCAGAAAAAGCAGGGGCAATATCCGAGCCGTGATTTACAAGGGAAGACAGATCAGGTGGCTTTCAGAGCTTCACAGCAGCCCTGCCGGGCACACATTTCTATTTCCTAGTGCTAAGGAGGCTTCCTGGGGTGGAGAGCGATGTTTCCTTTGAGCAGGTGCCCTTGCCAGCAGCGCTAGTCCTCGACTGAGCAATGTGCTCAGGAGTGTCAGAGGTTTAACTGTGTCATTATGTCCTTCTCTGCTGCAGAAATTGACAAATGTCAGGATCATGAAGGAGAACATGAGGACGGGCAACTTGCCGGCAAACATGAAGAAGGCCAGGGTCATCCAGATCATCCCGTGTAAGGCACCCATGGCATGGCTGGGGCGGGACTGGGGTTGGGCTGGTGCCAGAGGCTTTTATCCCGGAGGAGCCATTCACCACTTACCCCTGTGCACCAGGGTCAACAGCAGGGTGCGGACGGGCGCGGTAGCTCACACCTGTAATCCCAGCACTTTGGGAGGCCAAGGCGGGCGGATCACGAGGTCAGGAGATGGAGACCATCCTGGCTAACACAGTGAAACCCCATCTCTACTAAAAATACAAAAAATTAGCCGGGCGTGGTGGCGGTGCCTGTAGTCCCAGCTACTCGAGAGGCTGAGACAGGAGAACAGCGTGAACCTGGGAGGCAGAGCTTGCAATGAACTGAGATTGCGCCACTGCACTCCGGCCTGGGCAACAAAGCAAGACTCCATCTCAAAAAAAAAAAAAAAAAAAAAAGAGCAGGGTGTCATCTGGCCCCAGGTTAAGGGCTCCTGTGTGCTGTGTCAGGTGTCGGGTAGAAAAGACACCTGTGAAGCACCAGCTGACCAAACGGTCCTGCTCTGGTCTCAGGCAAGCCGCCTAGGACATGAGCTTGCAGGTGCAGTGGGGCAGCCGGGGCTGGATTGCAGGCGAGGGTTTCACAGAAGCTGGAGATTTGCTGCAGGCATGACTTGGTGCCTTAGGATTCCTTGTCTCATTCCTTATCTCCCCAAGCCTGGGCAGAGGCCCACCTCCCCCTTACACAGAGGGGCCTGAGCCACCTGGCCGAGGCCATGCAAGCGGACTCAGCTGAGACCATCTAGGAAAAGGCTATGGCCTTGAGGAGGACAAGAAATGGGCCCAGGGTGGAGTCAGGACACTGGTCTGCTGCCCAGGTCATGGGAGAGGGAAGGGGGGCCTGGCAGGCGCAGGAGGAGAGGAGGCAAAGCTGGCGAGAAGACAGGGCCACACATAGTGGGCGGCGGGAGAGTCGGGAGGCTCGCCAAGTGGGAAAAAGAGAAACCTGAGAAACCCAGCCCAAAAGCAGACTCCACAGGGATCCGAGGAACTAGAGAGGGAGGGGGGAGATGCTCCGCTTGGGAGGAGGGTGCGTCTCATTATAGACGTCTTCTCGATGGAGTCACAGCTCAACAAACACCAGCTAGAGACAGCTGTGAGCAGGCCTGCTGCAGCAGGGTCTCCCCAAGCACTGTAGGCGAGTAGAGCTCCCGGGGCCCTGCCATCTTCAGACTCTGGCCCCTGGTCTTCTGGAGCCCCGGTGTCCTGCTGGCCACCCTAGGTTGCTTGCTTAGCCACATTCCATTTACTCCTTCAGAGCAATATTTTTAGTGCTTGTATTTTGGTATGTATTATATCGATTCCTGAAAAATGAAGATGATAATTGGGTTGTTTTCAGGGTTTTCCTTCAAAAAGAAAAATACCCCTGAGCCACTTTAATTATCCTCTTTCATAATGTAGACTTTCCCAAGAGTTGGCTTTACCTAGTGATTTTATTAATAGGCCCTGTATTTTGCAAACTTGTAGCAACGGATTAAAGTTAGCAAGGTGGGACCCTTTTTGTAATAACTGAAGGAAGATACTGCTTTGCAGATGACTTCAACCGAGTGATCCTTTCCATGAAAAGGGGTCAAGAATACACAGACTACATCAATGCATCCTTCATAGATGTAAGTGTGCTGGCCTGGGTTGTGTTTATGCAGATGTGTTGCCTTCACACGTGACCACACAGATTTGATTAGCTTGTTTTCACAATGAGAAAGAATTGACATGTTTCCAGAAACTCGACCATTTTTGTTAGCAGAATTATTTGCTTAAAAAAAAAAAAGTGGCAAGGCACGATGGCTCAGGCCTGTACTCCCAACACTTTGGGAAGGTGAAGCAGGCAGATCACTTGGGGTCAGGAGTTTGAAACCAGCCTGGCCAATATGGCAAAACCTGTCTCTACTAAAAATACAAAACTTAGCTGGGCATGGTGGCAGGTGCCTGTAATCCCAGCTACTCGGGAAGCTGAGGCAGGAGAATTACTTGAATCTGGGAGGCTGAGGTTGCAGTGAGCCGAGATCGCGCCACTGTACTCCGGCCTGGGCAACAGAGCGAGACTCCTTCTTAAAAAAAAAAAAAAAAAAAAAGTGGACTTTGGAAATGGAAGGACATAGACTTGCTGCTAAGTAATTGGCTCTTTTTACATTCTGCTTTGAATATATAGTTATTTTTCTTTTACATATCTGTTACATACCAGTTATATACCCATTGCCTCTGTGCTCTTTCTCTTGTGTGATTTCTGCAATGTGTACTCACACAGACAATACAGTTACGTGTTCAGGGCACATAGACAGAGGCTGTCTTCATGCACAGTGGAGTTCGCAGAAGAAGGGCAAAAGGGGGAATTGCAGCTAAGTGTATGTTAATATTGCCATTTTCCGATGAGAAAATTGTGCCAGAATCCAGGGGGCTCCATGCTGATCTAGCTGAAACACACAGAAACATGTCAGAATCTAAGCCACCAGGTGCTGTTCAGATGGCCGCAGGCGACTACCAGTTCATAATACCCATTTGTTGATGACCTCAGGGGCTGATGGTGGCGGTTATGGTTTCAGATAAGCGAGCCTCTTGACCTGCTTGTCAGGTGTGTGCCTGAGTGCTCATGCCAGCTGGAGTCTGGTGCCGACCATGGAAGATGGGAGACTTTTCCTCATTAGGCCTTAGGCTGTCCTAAACTTAGGGAGCAGGTAATGGAGCCAGGATGGAAGGAAGCTGGACGTTAACCTCTGCGCCTCCATTTGAAGGGCTACCGACAGAAGGACTATTTCATCGCCACCCAGGGGCCACTGGCACACACGGTCGAGGACTTCTGGAGGATGATCTGGGAATGGAAATCCCACACTATCGTGATGCTGACGGAGGTGCAGGAGAGAGAGCAGGTGAGGGGTGCCACCCAGCCCCAGCCCTCCAGGGGCAGCCTGTGCACCTGAGGCACTGTCGCCGTTCATTACAAATGTCCCACCCGCCATCAGTGCAAACACATGGGTGAGACCAAGCCAGGACCACTAGGGAGGGAGAGAGGTTGGAAATGAAAAAGGTTTCATTTCACCCTTTCCCTTTTGGGAGTGAGGTTTAACCATAGCTACCCACTGCCCTTTATTCTTAGCCTACATGTTATTTAGCCTGCCCTGAAATTTTGCCATTTGGTATTGGCCAAGATTATAACCTGTTGAAGAAAAAGACATTTATTGGCTTTTTTCAAGACATGAAGACATAGGCACTGATATGTATGCCTAATGGATATTGTCCTAGTAAATTGAATGAGTTAACTCTTCCTTTTTACAGAGATCCACCCCTGGCCTTCTTGTATTGCATTTATTTAATAACATAATAAACACTCGTGAACTCACCACCCAACAGTAAACCCAAGGTTTTACCAACAACGTACATCTATCTGGGTGCTCCCCCAAGACATACTTACTGCTGTGTATTTGTGTTTTTATTTCTTTGCTCTAAAAAGGAACAGCTTTATTGTGATATAATTCACCTATAATTCGTGCAATTCATCTTTTTAAAGGGTGCAATTCAGTGAATTATAGTATATTCACAAAGTTGTACAACCATCACCACTATCTAATTTGAGATCATTTTCATCAACCCAAAAGGAAACCTTGTGCCATTAGCAGTCACTCCTCATTCCTTCCTTTCCCTAGCCCCAGGCAACCACTAATCTGCTTCCTGACTATGGGTTTGTCTGTTCTGGACATTATTATAAGTGGAATCATACAGTATGTGGTCTTTTGTGATTGGGTTCTTTCACTGAGCATCATGCTTTCAAGGTTCATCCATGTTGTAGCATGAATTAGTAAATCATTCTTTTTTATTGACAAGTAGTATTCCCTTGTGTGGCTATACTATATTCTGCATATCCAGTCATCAGCTGATGGACATTTAAGTTGTTTCCACTTTGGAGCTAAATAACACTGCACCCAGCCAAGCAGTGTTATTTGGGTGGGTGCGGTGGCTCACACCTGTAATTCCAACCCTTTGGGAGGCCAAGGTGGGCAGATTACATGAGGTCAGGAGTTCGCGGCCAGCCTGGCCAACATGGCAAAACCCCGTCTCTACTAAAAACACAAAAAGTAACTGGGTGTGGTGGCGGGAACCTGCAATCCCAGCTTCTTGGGAGGCTGAGGCAGGGAGAGTCGCTTGAACCTGGGAGGCAGAGGTCGCACTGAGCTGAGATCATGCCATTGCACTCCAGCCTAGGTGACAGAACGAGACTCCATCTCAAAAACAAAGCAAAACAAAAAAAACTGCTGCTTGAACATTCAGGTGGTAGTTTTTGTATGGACATGCTTTTTCATTTCCCTTGGGTATTATACCTAGGAGTGTATATACTAGGAGTGGAATTGCTTGGTCACCTCATAACTCTATGTCATAAACTTACTGTTTAACATTTTTGAGGACCTGCCAGGCTGTTTTCCACAGTAGCTGCCCCATTTTCCATTCCCACCAGCAATATATAAGGTTCTAATTTCTCCACATCCTCACCAACATTGTGATTGTCTTTTTGATTAAAGCCATCCTAGTGGATATGTTCTTTGCTTTTTTAGAAAATATTTTAAAATCACATCTATTTATGCCTACAGAGACTGTTGAGTTTTACTTGTGTTTGAACTTCATATAAAAAGCATCATTCCAGCATGTTGTCTTCTGAGACTTGCTTCTTCCACTCAAACCTGTGCTTTTGATATTGTTCTGTGTTGATGCTTATGCTGCGGTTCATTCGTCATCATTATTTCATGATATTCCACCGCACAAACTATATCCTGCATTAGCTCACATATTCCTTCTCCTGTCATGGACACTTGAGTTGATTTCATTTCATTGTTTTACAAACAGTGCTACCTGTACATTCTTTTTTTTAAACTTTAAGCTCTGGATACAAGTGCAGAATGTGTAGTTTTGTTACATAGGTATACATGCGCATGGTGGTTTGCTGGACCTGTCAACGCGTCATCTAGGTTTTCAGCCCTGCATGCATTAGCTATTTGTCCTAATGCTCGCCCTCCCCTCACCCTCCACCCCGCAACTGGCCCCAGTGTGTGTTATTCCCCTCCCTGTGTCTGTCCGTTCTCCCTACCTGTATGTTCTTGTACATGTCTTATGCTGCACTGGGACTAAGATGTATCAAAGAGCCAAAACGCCTCATTGAAGAGTATGTGAAAGTTTGAATTTGCAAGATAATTCCTAATTGCTTTCCAAAGTGGACGTCAGCAATGTATAAGAGATATCATTCATCTGCATACCTAGTATGGTATTCTCAAGGTGTCCTAATTATTGTTAATTGAAAATTAACAAAATATTGTTCGTTGTGTAATTATTGTGTAAATATTATCTTTTTGTGGCTCTGATTTGCATCTTTCTGATTCCTACAAGGTCAACCCCATCACTTCATAGATTTGTGGATGGCATATTTCCTCTTGTGTCAAATGCCTGTTCCTGCCTTTCACTGATTTTTCTATGGGGTTATTTGTCCTTTCTTATTGATTTATAGGAGCTCTTTACATAATCTTGATACTAATTCTTTACTGGTTTTATATATTGCAAACATCTTATTGCAATCTGTGGCCTGTCTTTTCACTCTTTTAATGATGTTTGTTGATGAAGAAAAGTGAATTTTACTGTAATCCAGTGTTTCAAATTGTCGCATCATGATTGGTTAGCTGTTTGGGCTCTTGTCTAGTAATCCTTGTGTACCTCAAAGTGAAAAGGTGTTTCTTCTTCCAAGAGTTTCACAGTTTTGTTTTTCACCTTAAACCTTAATCCATCTGGATTTATTTTTATTAAGGTTCAAAGCCACTACACGTGGAAGTGCAGAGTGTACACTGCTCAGTTCTAGGAAGAGCTGGGGACACTCACATCAGCCCTGGTAGAGTATGAGTCAGGGATCTAATTTCATTTTCCCCAGGTAGAAAACCAATTTATCCAGCCCCATTTATTGAAGAATCTCTCCTTTCTGCCACATGTTAAGGTTTCATATATATGTGTGTCTGTTTCTAGACTCTGTTCTGTTCCCTGGGTCAACAAGCATTAAAAGGCATTTATATTCATATTCATATTTTTTTTTGGTCAGATGAAAAACACTGGTTTGAGAACAATTCTGCATTATAAACTCAAAATGGCCAGCAGCAAATTATTTATTATAAGACTTACATTTTTATTTTATCCCCTAAGGATAAATGCTACCAGTATTGGCCAACCGAGGGCTCAGTTACTCATGGAGAAATAACGATAGAGATAAAGAATGATACCCTTTCAGAAGCCATCAGTATACGAGACTTCCTGGTCACTTTCAATCAGGTATTGTTGAACTAGCTCTTTAAACCCTTGTGAATTTAGTGAACCACACCCTCCCTCCTGGTTCTGCTTGTCATTGAACCAGAATGTGGCCCTGCACCTGTCCTTTTCCTTCACATAGTCCCATTGGCTGTGAATGGCCAATGGGTTTCAGAGACCCATTCAGTGGCAGGTCTCCTGTACAATTCTCATCTCCCTGGCCGCCTACCTCCCATTTATCTCTCAGGAGAATTATATTAGCCATTAGTTGGGGGAGGAGGAACAAAGGGGACTCATGAAGCCACAGGGGCCTCTCTGGGCCTCTCCTCCAGGTGCCTTTTCAGAGCCACCCAATTGTCCCCATTTCCACTGGGTCCTTGGTTCTGCTCACCCTCTCTCCTTGGCAAAGAATGAGGACTCGGGGTCAGCCGTGGGTAGGATGACTCACTTGTGCACAGGACTTGATGCTGAGCTCCAAACGGTCAGTACCACGAAATGCACCTGCACTGTCTCCTCCATGCCAGCCACAGAGCCACCCCGGCCACCAGACTCAGATGCTGCTCCTTTGAGCTTTGAAGGGAAAGGCGGGACCCTGCCTTCTTGAGAAAGTGATTCCCTTCTCTCTAGCAGAGCTGCCAAGGATCCCGTAGGGGTTGGGCCGTCCTCGAAGGGCTCCAGGGGATGTGCTCTGGGCGGCTTGCTCCGCCTCGCAGAAGGAAGCACAGCCAACCACTTGCCTTCTTCTTTAGGGCAAGCAGTTTTCAGCCTTCTCCTTCAGGCTGCCTCGGTGGGGACGCTGGCAGCACAGAAGGCTCAGGGAGGGCTCCCAGCCTTGGCCAATCCCTGAGAGGGCAGGTGGGGCTGGGGCCTGTTTCCCAGCAGGCAGGCAGCGCTGAGACCCCCTCTCCTCCCTGCAGCCCCAGGCCCGCCAGGAGGAGCAGGTCCGAGTAGTGCGCCAGTTTCACTTCCACGGCTGGCCTGAGATCGGGATTCCTGCCGAGGGCAAAGGCATGATCGACCTCATCGCAGCCGTGCAGAAGCAGCAGCAGCAGACGGGCAACCACCCCATCACCGTGCACTGCAGGTGAGCCCGCAGCCCAAAGCCCCCCAGGTGGGGTGGACACAGGCTGCACGCCCCCAGTACCCGCAGCTGGGGGCAGCAGAGCCTTGTCGCTGCCCTGGCCATGCTATTCCCTAGAGTCTCCTCTCTACCTCTCCTTATACACACGCACACATGGCTTCACTTAAGTACATACATGTCATCGTGTCATACATCAGATGCATACATGTCATCTTAACATACATGCAGAATGCACTTCAGAGGGAGGAGTTGGGAAACCACTCAAACACACATTTCCATGTGCTTTTGAAGTCATCAAAAATTGCCAGGCAGAGCTCGGAGGAGCACACTCCCCGACTTCAAGTTCCTGGGCAGGTTTTGAGAGACTGCCTGGCTGGGCTGCTGTGCCTACACCCGCCCTCTCCCGTTGGCTGGGATTCCTGGCCATATGAGGAGTCCCAGCTGGGATTGTAGCCACGCTGGTCCTGCAGCCTCAGCCTGGCTCCCAAGTCAGGCCCAAAGGCAGAGGGACACCCAGGGCACGTGGGACACCACTTAATCCGCAGATGAAGGCGTGAAACACAGCATTCCCGAAGGCAGATGCACAAATCTGGCCAAGCCCACGGGCTGCCCACTCGCCTGCCTTCTGTTCTCTGTGGTTCTGATCCTGCTGCACACTTCTGCTGGCAGGGACCCTGACGCCTGGCAAGGTTCTTCCAAGCAGGAGCTTGGGGTGTTCTATCCTTGGGTGGTGCTAATGTGCTCCTAAAACTGCAGTTCCATTTCTTGTCTCATACCAGTGGTGCCCACCCTTTGTGACTGCCTTTCCCCCCTCCCCGCCCCACCCACTGTCCCACCCCTTATAGCTGGCAGAGCTCTCTCCCTGCCTGGACCCCGCCGGGGTGCACTCCTGGCCTGGCCAGTAGGTGGAGCACACACCTCGGTTTTTGGTTTTCCTGACGCTTTCCAAGTAGTCATTTAGGATAAACTTGAAATGAGTTCCATGGGGCACAGGAGATGCAGAGGTGAACAAGATCCCACCTGTGGGAAGGCAGATGTGGGACCGATCATTGCGGCAGGACAGAGGCCTTGGAATAAGCCCACACGTGAGATTATGGAGCGTGGAGGGCAGCCAGGCATCTCCAGAAGACCTGCTGGAAGAGGCCGGTCCACCCCACCTCCTCCAACCCAGTACACCTGGGCGCTCCTACCAGGGCCTGGGCTCTGCTTTTGTGGGGTGTGTCAGCAAATGACCATGGTAAATGGAGGTGACTCAAATCGGCCTTGCTGGGAAGTGTCAGTTGACTGTTTCTGCTTGTGAATGTCCTTAAAACGCCCCTCCCGTTCAGCATTACCCGTTTCAGAAGACACCCCCGGCACAGTAAGGAGGGGGTATGCCAGGATTACCTCCTCCCTAGACCTGAGCTGGGAGGGTTTGCATTTCTGACAAGTTCCCAGGTGCCAACCGTGCTGCTGGTCCAGGGACCACACTTTGAGAACTATTGCCCTACACAAGGAAGAAGGGAAATGGTGACACTTGCTTAAAAACTTGTCACTGGTCCTGACTCATTTTATAAAATATTGGTCTACTGTAATTAGGGAGGTGTTTTAGGAATTTTACATTTGCTAAATCTTGCTCAGAAGCTAAGCTACATACAAATGATCAAAAAAAAAAAAAAATCAGTCACACTGAGATCATTTTCAGCGATTGTTGCTTCAGTGCTGATATGCAGGGCTTGGTTGTCAGCTCTGTTTCTCATCCCCAAGTGCAAGTCGGATGATCTGCATTAAGCACTTTTTCTCTGCAGTGCCGGAGCTGGGCGAACAGGTACATTCATAGCTCTCAGCAACATTTTGGAGCGAGTAAAAGCCGAGGGACTTTTAGATGTATTTCAAGCTGTGAAGAGTTTACGACTTCAGAGACCACATATGGTGCAAACCCTGGTAAGAATCTGAATGAGGATGTTACCAGAAGAGTGGAGAATTATTTCATGTTGTATTTGATACATGTTTCATTAAAGGACCTTAAGTACATGGGGGAGGTGGGAAGGTAAAATTCCCAGGGAAAAGGGCCAGCTGCAATGTTTCGCTGTAAACCTCTGCAGAGCCCTCCTTCCTTGGGTTCTCTGACTTGGGTGTCTTCTGGGCAAGACCCAGGAGGAGGGGCCTGTCCACCAGTTTCAATGTCTGAGACCACTTGGAGAGACGCACTGAGGATAGGAGCTTTTGTGTCAAAGTGAACCATTCTGCGAGATTCCTGTGTGCACTGAAAAACATACTCTTATCAAGTTCAAAAGCAGCACTGAAATTTAAAATCCTGGTACTTCTCATTTCAGTGTTATACTCATCCATGTGACTTGTTTTCCCTGGCTGGGTCTCACTCGACCTCAAGATACTGTCCAGGGGCTGCAGGAATCCCTCTAATGTGTGAATACTTTTCCCCATACATTTGCTTTCATTTCGAGGACTCCTGCTTTCTGGTTTTCAGAAGTGATTCCTCCTCACCAAATACGACTATAGTTCCTGCCACTCACCCAGCGAGTACAATTTTAAAGCCTGTTACAACGCATCCTTTTCCCCAGAGCTTCCCACTTCAGACTTGTCCTCCCCACCTGCTCACTCTCCACACTAACAATCCTGGCTCACCCAGCCCCCTGTGCATAGAGAGGAGGGAAGGAGGCCCTTCCACACCCGCCTCACAGCAAAGCACAGCGGGAGTGAGGACACCTGAGCTGAGGGCGGGTCTGTCCATCCACACCCTGATTGGGCTAGAGCGCGGTTCTCCACCCTGACTGCACATGAGACCCACCTGGGGGCGTTTACCGTCTTCCATTGCCCAAGCCGCCCTCAAATCAATTAGGTGGAATCTCTGGGGGTGGGATCCGTGTATTGAAAGACACCCCCTACCACGTGGTCTCAAAATGAATACAGGTTTGAGAGCCAGTGGACTAGAAAGCTGGGTGCCTCCTAAGTGTCTGCTGTCTGTGCCGGGATGGATACCTGGGCAGCTGAAAAAGATGGGAGAAGCAAGGCACCTAGGGCGCTCCTGCTGGTCCCGGAGCCCTGGCTCCAGCACTGCCAGTCCTTGAGGGCTCTGGGAAGAGGCTGGAGGCCTGATTCATGCCTCCTGGAGGTCATGCCTGCCTCTGATAGTCCACGCTGCAGAAATACACAAACTACAACAGTGTTGCAAGTGGACAAAGTGACAGACCATGCCCAAGAGAGGTCTTAAATCAAAATAACAATAGTAATTAATAAACACTTAACAGGAGTCCCGGTGCAGTGGCTCACACCGATAATCCCAGAACTTTGGGAGGCTGAGGAGGGCGGATCACTTGATCTCAGGAGTTTGAGACCAGCCTGGGCAACATGGTGAAACCCTGTCTCTACTAAACATACAAAAATTAGCTGGGCGTGGTGGCGCATGCATGTAACTCCAGCTACTTAGGAGGCTGAGGCAGGAGAACTGCTTGAGCCAGGGCGGTGGAGGTTGCAGTGAGCCAAGATCGCACCACTGCACTCCAGCCTGGGCGGCAGAGTGAGATTCCATTTCAAAACAAATAAAAATAAAAATAAAAATAGATAAATAAAAAAGACTTAACAAGAACCCCTCAAAAAGAAATCCAGTTTTGAAACTATGAGCCAGACTCTCTGGTTTCTTTCCTGTTGTTAATTTTACACAGGATTCCCCAGGCAGTGCAAGTGGCTTTCGTCCTGCCTGCCCAGCCACCTCAGTATGAAAGAGACAGCAGGTGTCCCTGCAGAGATTTGGCTTCCACTGTCCTCCAGATTCACAGCTGGACTCCTTCGGGGCTCTGTGAACTTGGACAAGCTCCTTCCACTTTCTGGGCTTCAGTTCCTTTCTGCGGAAAACAGGGGTGATGGTGTGTTAGAATCACTGTGTGAAATTTGCTTTAAGTACATCAGGGACTCTACTAGTGCCTGGCCTCTGGGACGTGCCCAACGACCTGTAACAAAGACCATCTCTCTAAGCAGCAGCATACAGCGTTTCCCTAGTCTTTTTGGGGACTCACAGCTCTCATTAATCTGCCTGGTCTGGTCAATATATTCTATTTTCGAGACCATCTAGCCTCCAGGTGTCCTCCCATCTCAGCTCTGCTCTTCCTGACCCCAGCTTGCCCCTCCATGCTCCCTGACTGGGAAGCTGCCCTCAGATGTTGTGTGGCTGTCACCTGTGCTCTCTTGCCTGGTAACAGCTTGACAGAGCACTTTGCAACCTGACTTTTAGAGTCAGGGTCTAGTCCAATGCCCAGCCCATGGCGAGGGCTCCAGAGCAAGTGGTGAATCAGCACATGAATGAGGGAGAAGTGAGTCACTAAATAACCGTCAGGTGTTGGGTGCAGTGCAACCAGGTGCCTGACAGACGTCTTTCTCATTTCATCTTCACCAGCTGCTTGCCCTTGTGCCTGCTTCTGTTCACAAGGAGTGTTCTGCAGGCACCTCCAGTTAGGATGGTTGAGAAGCCTGCCCGAGATTTTCAAGTATTAAGTGTCAGAATGAGATTCAAACTCTATCTGACTCCAGAAGGGAAGGGCTTAACTAGTTCTCTATGCTGCCAGACCTCACATTTGGCAGGGATATTTTGGCCAAAAAAACACAGGCGCAAAAACATCTTTGAATAAAGAGATGATGGCTGACATGCAGGTTGATTTAGCCCTGCAGGTGGGCACAGTGGCCCCAGAACCAGTTTCCAGTTGCTGAGCACTCAGGGAAGACTTGCTTCCAGCATCCTAGGTAGCCTTTGGTTGGAACTGACATTCCAAAGGCCACAAGTACATCTGTTTTCCTGGAGTCTGTGGCTGGACCAGAAATGTCTGTCTGTGACCTGAGGTGTGGCTTGTATCATCCCAGCACACTCCAAAGTACACTTCATCCATCACCGGCCCCAGTCACTTGTACTCAAGACAACACGGGATGGTCAGCAGTTAGCTGTTGTGTTTGCTATGAAAACAGAGTAATTAGTGATCATCTCCATTTCCATCCCAGACTGAGCCAGCTTTGATATGCAGTCGATGTTGTTTTAAGTTGATATTCGGTTGATGTTGCTTTAAGTTGGAAAAGTCGATGTTGCTTTAGGCTGTTTGCCTCTTTAAAGACAGCCTGTATATTTATTGAGAATTCCTTCTAGGAATTCAATTCCTTTTCCTTCTGAAGGCTGGGTGATCAGCTGCGTGTCTTAGGAGCCAGAAATGAGGACCCTACAATCTGGTCTTGGCTCTTCCAACAACTTCATGCAAATTTAGGAGCAAAGTTTCAGGCTCACCTTTTCCTTCTCTGGAAAACCCAGCTCCTTCCCATCCTGGCCAGACCAGGACTCAGGAAGGGCTAAGCTAGCTGTTTGGCATCTTTCCATCCAAAAGCACTTAGATATTTGTTCACTGTGTGCTAAGAAGAGCCCAAGTCGAATGTGTTGGAAAGAAGCAGGGAGGTGCTGAGGACAGCTCTTGGCCTCTCCAGTTTCCCAAGCCCCTATCCCAGCCCCAAGCTCAAATATCCCATCCAGGGGTCTGGGAGGAGCAGCCTATATATAAAACAATGTGTCTTTTGTATAGTAAATTTAGGCTTTAAAATAATCTAGATATGCATTTTATTTAACTTTTATAGATTGCTTTCTTACTTTATGAAATTTATCTGGCAATGTTAATACTCTGATTTTTTTTTTCTCTTTCTCTCTTTTTTTTTTTTTTTTTTTTTTTTTTTGAGACAGGGTCTCACTGTTACCCAGGCTGGAGTGCAGAGGTGCAGTGGCACAATCTTGGCTCACCGCAATCTGCCTCCTGGGCTCAAGGAATCCTCCCATCTCGGCTTCCCGAGTAGCTGGGACTACAGGTGTGCACCACTATGCCCAGCTAATTTTTCTATCTTTTTTGATAGAGATGGGGTTTCACCATGTTGCCCAGGCTGGTCTGAAACTCCTGGGTTCAAGTAATCCTCCTGCCTCAGGCTCTGAAAGTGCTGGTATTACAGACATTGAGTCATTGCACCTGGCCTGGTTCTTTTTTTTTTTTTTTTTCAATTCAAAAATAGTTGTTTTCCAGTTTCAGTGTGAAAGCTACAGACATTTTACTCAGTCCATTAAATACACTAACTTGAAATGTTAATACACTAACTGACACATTCGATGTAGGAACATAGCTTTATTTGGAATTCTGTATGTGCCTAAAAACCAATTATGATGTGCATAAAGGTATATGGTATTTTAATGAATAGTCACACTTATTGATGCCTTGTTTTTGACTATCTCTCCTGATTAAATTAATCAAATATATTTTTGGGAATAACATTTTAATGTGTCCTTGTTTGTCTTTTCAGGAACAGTATGAATTCTGCTACAAAGTGGTACAAGATTTTATTGATATATTTTCTGATTATGCTAATTTCAAATGAAGATTCCTGCCTTAAAATATTTTTTAATTTAATGGTCAGTATATTTTGTAAAAATCATGTTAATTTATTTCATAGTTGACATTAATATCTTCCCTAATTTCTTTGTATATATTTTGTTATGCCTTAAAGGCCACCTGCTATAAAGTTGTTAAATCTTAAATATGCTTTTTAAAAATTGGAATAATGTATTAAGGTCAAATAATATCTCATAAAATATATATTTCTGCTAATATTAGTAAATATATTAATTTTTCATTAGATTCATATGCTTTAATTTCACACATTCAACACCTTTAAATGTTGTAATCTTAATATGCGAAGTGTGCCCCTGCAAGATACTAAACACAAAGCTCATATTAAGAAAACAGTTGAGGACTCAGAAGTCAGTTAAAAATGCACTTTCCTAACACTGATTTCACAACCCCAAACAGCAGCATTTTTGGAAGGCAACCTGTTCGTGATGATACAATGTAAATGGGGACTTCTGTAAAGTTCTCAGTTCCGGCCCATGTGGTTTATCTTTACATTTTAAAGATGAAAAAATCTTTACAACCTGAATCCAGGTCTAAAACACACTAGAGTAGCTGGCGAATATAAGTAATATTTAAAAATGCTGTGTCTACACCATCAAGACTGTGTCTACACCATCTTGGCTGGATGAGAAGAGATGTAAATGCCAGGTGGTCCCGTGGACCTGTGGCCTTGAGTACAACAAAACCAGCCATCGGAGTTGCACCCCGAAGCACCACCTGCTGTCCGGCTGCCTGTCTGGCCCAGACAACCCTCAGAAAATCAGACCAGCTGCCTCTCCCATTCTCCCCTCCCATTCTGCCACAGCAGCCTGTGCTGCTCCAGTGCTATGCCTGGAGGCTCAACACGAAACGTCCCATCCAAATGTTCAGATGAACTGAGCATCTTACACACGTAATACAGAGGAGCACACATTGGGATAGAAACAGTAGAATAACCACAGGCAATTAAACTTTAAATTTTCTGAGCAACATTTTGGTATTTAGACATTTCTTGTAAAAAGCTAAGACTGTTTGTAAGAAAAGAATCCCTAAAATCTAGATTTATACCATTTTTTAAAGTCCCACCTTTCAATGTTTAATAAAAGAAAAAGAGAAATCCTTAATCTAAAAGCTAAATTATTTTTGAATGGAAATACTACTGAGACCATTGACCCTGGATAACAGTAACGATCCCATTGCCAGATAAGATTGGCTGACGGAGGAAAAAAAAAGAATGGGTGTAAATGTACCAACATTGAATTTTATAGCAGTTATCTTTCTATGGCCATTAGGTACCTAGCAGATGAGCACAATATAAACAAAGAGATATCTGGCCTTCCTTACTACTAAAAGCATTTAACACGTGCATTTTTGGTACGTTTTTTGTTTCCTAAAAGCTATATAAAGGCCTTATTTGACATTTTCACTGATAACTGATCGCACCCTCGTATTGCAGTGTTCGTCCCTATTCATTGATGGTGTGTGCAAATGCAACCCAGGACACATTATTGTTCCATAATAGGCTCACAGGGAATCAAGCTTCTCGCCCACTCCATGGCTCCGAGCCCCATCCAAGGGCAAGACTTGGTGCCCAGCTGGAAGGACGAAAGCACACTTCGTGACCGCCATCCTCACCAGCGGCACGCCCGGGCTGCACACTGCTGAATGTGCTCTTCTCTCCTTCTCTGTACAATGATTCAGCATCTCGGTGGAAGAGGAAAATGGAGCTTTTTGAGGTTCACCAGGTCCCTTTTGTTTTCATCGTGAAAATTCCAAACCCAAAGCCTTTTTTTGACTGAAGGAGAAGAGAGGGAAGTAAGTTTCTGTTCAGCACCTGAACCTAGAAACAGAGCCAGCTTGCTACAATGAAGGTGACATTCCTCTGGTCATTTATTTGAGAGTTCGAAGTCAAAGTAGAGGGGCACAGGCTTTGGTTCATGTCTAGGAGCCCTCTGTCAGAATCCTTGAAGCCCTTTAATGGTCTAACCGGCATCTCTTGTATCAAGAAGTACCTTTAAGGTAGACCTTTTCAGGGTGCCCTCAGGAAAGGGCCCTGCTCACTTTTTATCCTGTCCCCTTAGACCAACCCCAGGTGTCCGCTGCAGGGGTTCTGCCTGTTCCCAAACCTTTTCCATTCCAGGAACAAAGGAGAAGCCACTTTCCCCGGGACAAAGGACTCTCCCTTCCGCTGTCCGGGACAGCATTCCCCTTTAGAGGGGAAGTCATTACAGCCTCATGGCCTCTACCAAGGTCCCAGTTCACACCATCTCCTGGGCCTTAGGGCAACTCACCCTAGGGGAATCCACCCCTGGGGGACTCAGTATCTTCTCCGTGCAACCTGGAAAGTTCAGCTCTTCTTTCCTTCGGTCAAAGAAAGTCCATTGTACATAACAAAACAGCCCCGAACAGCCCAGTGCCGACACCGTTGTTCCTTTCACATTCTCCTTTGTTGCATGCAGTTGGGTTCAAATACCAAATAGTGATTAGAAGACGACCATTCTGATCTGTGTGTGATCTGGTCACTGTGTGACTGCCTTTACGGTTTCTCTCCATGTGCTATACGAGTGAAGAATGCATACCGGTGTTTCAAAAGGTATTTTTACGTGTTTTTAAACACTTTTTAAAATGAGCCTGACACCTGTGTTTCAGCATTTGGAGACATACCCATGTTATTCTTTTAAGTGTATGATTACGGATACTTTTTCGTTTGTTTGTTTAACCAAGTTGTGTTTAATTTATGTGCAATCTTTATAATATATGTATGTTATTACAGTTTCAACTATCATATTTTCTTTGATTACATTTATAATTTGATCTTGCTCTGATTATAATGCCAGTGAATGTTGCTGAATTCTTTGTATATGCAAATTGCAAGATTTAAACCATTCTGATGCAAGGATAAACCTTTACTTTGACTACCAGCCTGTGTCTTTTTCTTCAGATCTCTTACTTTTATTCTTGTGCAAAAAAAAAAAAAAAAAAATTGCCTGCTATAAGATGGGGTTTGCTGTTGTGGGCTCTTTTGTTATTGGTTTCTCCCTATGAGTCTGTGGGTCCCAATGTCCCATCCTAGACAAGCAGCGTCCACTCTACTGTGGATGTGGTCTTGGCCCTTCCCCTGGGGTAAGCAGACCTGAACATATGAAGGTGCAGGCACAGCTGGACACAGTGGGGAGGGGCAGAGGGATCCAAGGAAAAGGAAGTATGGAAGAGGCATAAAGAAAGTCACCAACTGGGCATTCACCAGGGGCCAATGAACCCAAATAGCATGGCCTGAGACCAGTGCCTCAGAAGGAGCTGAGGTCTGCAAAAGTACACTTGCCAGACCAGCCTCAAAAGCAGCTCCTATCAACAGAAACACAGATAGGACACTGAGTGCTGAGGGACCTCAGGAGAGACAGGTAGGTTGCCAATGGCACCGATGAGTGTGTGTGTCTCAGCAAGCCACTCAGAGGAGCATTACTGAGACCACACTGGGAACTCCACTCTGCAGAGATGCACAAGGGGTCTCCCCACATCTTATGCATGAAGGAGCAGGATGCTGGAGCGCTGACCCACAGCTCTCATCCACCAGGTGAAAGGTTGGTTCCAGGGCTGCCAGCTCCCTGGCACATGCATGCCCCACTTGTGGGCCTACTGTTGCCAAAATCAGAGGATCGCCCAGGGACAGCGACACACAACATCCAGGCATCTGCTATGGTCACCAAGCTCCCAAGCTTGGCCTCTAACGGCTTGCATATTGGGCGTGGCAGCTGTGTGTCAGTGGGGAGCCATGTTCATCCCAGGGGGGCCTCGGGCCATCTGCTGGGTTGCTGGGAGGGCAGCTCCAGGGCTCAAGACAGCCATGCCCCAGCCGGATCTCACACTGCCACTTCCACATTCAGTGCCCACAGCTGGTCTCCCACAAAATAATAATAACTATTATTATTATCTTGTTTATTGTCAGTCTTTGGAAAACACGGGTACTAACCCTTCGTTTTTCCTATTGTAACTGTGCCCCTTCTGTTCCTTTATCAGAGCGTCTCTGATAGCTGTTTAATGCACTTGCCAGGAAGCAGCACCAAGTAATGCACCGACACTGTCACCCGGCATGTTGTGGCAACATCCTAGTCTCATCTCAAATAAGACTCTGGGCTTCTTCCAGGGATCACACCAAGTTTCAAGAAACACTTCACAGGATCAGGCTCCCCTCCAGAATTCTAGGCTAAAGGAGGCCATCTGTGCCTTAGAAACCAAAACCTGTTTCCCTCTTGCATATGGACCAGCAGCCTTTGCTATAAGCACTCAAGAGGCCCCGGCAGAGGCTGGACCGAGGTGTAAGCTTCACATTTGGCTGTTCTGGATGCTGAGGTTACATGACAGTGCCCTCCTTCTGAAAGTAACACATCCCCACTCCATCCGGAAAAGCCCCATGGATGAAAGTTACGTCATCCTGATGTGGCTGCGTTGCCACCTGCAGGAGTGTCTGCCAATGACCGTGCACCTGGAGGTTTGTGTCACTGAGCGGCCAGCATGTGGCTGAGGTGTGGGATTGCCCCTCCTTTCCCAACCACTGAATCCTGTCCAAGGTTGCCTAGAGCATCCTGCCCTCACTGATAGCTCTTTCCTGAGCAAAACCTCCCTCAAAGATGCAAACGGACACCATTCAGAACAGAGGCCAACAAACACAACAGCGGTTCTTTGGGGCCCTTTTGTGGTGAGCACTAATACTTGTGATTAGAGAGGATATCTGAATGAGCACGGAAAATCCCAGTGGTTTTTCAGTAATCACTATTAAGATGAAAGCATAATAAGCACATTATAACAATTAGCCCAGAACGACTATGATAGTAACAATCAACATATTCACTTCATTCCTCTTTTCTTATTTTCAAAATATGTATTTTAGGTTTATAAAGTGAGCCATATACACAAATAGTTCTCATTCCATGAGCACCTATGTGCTGGGCCCTTTATATGGGTGTTATCTGTACAATATCCCCTCAAGGGCTGAGAAACAGAGGCTTCCAGAGGATATGAAACTAGACCAAAGTTAGGTTGGAGGTGATAGAAGAGACAGAATTCCAACCCAGGACACCCCTATGCTGCTGTGGCCCTTCTAAATTCAGCCACTCTGCGTAACTTGCCCTTTCTTTGAGCTGTTATTAAACAACACTGTGGCACATTAAAAAGACTTGAGAAGGCCACGCATGGTGGCTCATGCCTGTAATCCCAGAACTTTGCAAGGCCAAGCTGGGCAGGCCAGGAGTTCAAGACCAGGCTGGGAAATATAGCAAAACCTTGTCTCTACTAAAAATAAAAAAATTAACCAGCATGGTTGCAAGCGCTTCTAATCCCAGCTACTCAAGAGACTGAGGCACGAGAATTGCTTGAACCCGGGAGGCAGAGGTTGCAGCGAGTAGAGATCGCACCACTGCACTCCAGCCTGAGAGGCAGAGTGAGACCCTGTTTCCAAAAAAATAAGAGAAAATCATTTAGTTAAGTAGCTACAGTTGACTTTATGGAGTCGCCGTTTGCCATGTTGACTCTCAATGACAGCCCAGGACGTGGGCTGGGGCCTGACCCCTCTTCCCTGACCAAATTGACCACTGAGCATGGCTCTCCCTCCCTTCCTCCCCAGCCTCTCCAGATGGTGAGGAGCCCTAGATGCACCCACCTGCAAACTTTTATCTCACTACAACAGAAAGACCTCTTCTTCAGGACTAACTGACCAACCGCAGGCTCCTGCCCTTGGAACTTGCCAGCAAATTCACTCGCAGGATCCATGTCAAATCAGGGTTGCCAGAGGAAAGTCAGGGCATGTATTTTCATCTGCTGACTTGGGGCTGCCCTGGGTCAAATCACAGTCCCTCAACTCAGCACCTCTGTTCCAACAAAGCAGACACGGCTGTGGTTGCAGGTAGTTCTTGAAATACAGCAGGCCATTCCTGCAGGACTAAAAATGGCTGCGATGACTTATTGGCCAAGAGAGAAAATGACCATCCAGTCAAGTCGTAGAAATGAAAATGGAACATAATGAACCAGTCTCTCTTACACTGGCCTGTCTGCCCCACCCACACTTAGTTTCTTTCCCCACTCTCCCTATAATAAAAATACCGTGAGTTTTAAGACCATTTCATCACACACTTTGTTGGGCATCTCCTGTGGCTGGTCACTGGGATACAGTAACCAGGAAATACATAGTCGGCCCTCATGAATGAACAAAACTTACAACCCCAGGAGGGGAGCCAGAAACTTAATTAGTGGTTTGGTGTCCACAATGCTACGTGCTACAAAGAGGTACAGAACAATTTCAGGCAAACTACGAACCTGCCCCAGCCTGGAGGACAGGCATGGGGTGAGGTAGCCCACAGGCAGGAAGCCGCCCTTAAGCTGAGTTCAGGACTGGATGCAATGATCTTGGTGGGGCCGGAGTGAAAGTTCCAGGCAGTGAAAACAGCAGGGAGTGTGTGCTGGCTGGGGATGCCTGCCAAAGGCAGGCAGGAGACAGTGGGTACAGTTGAGTAAGAAAGCTCAGGAGAGGCTGGGGGACCAGATCGCACAGGCCCTGGGAGGCGAAAAAGTAAAAACAGCTTCTATTTATTGGGAATGTCCTATCACACGGAAATTCACTTGGAAACTGAAGCTCAGAGAAGTTACCATGCCATGGTGGGAATGGGTGGGTATTTGTTCTCAAATGTAGTCAGCCCAGGGCAATGGGCAGTATTTGTCAGCTCCCTCCCTCCCCACCATACAAAGTGAAGGAGGGTTGTGTAAAAGTGGTGTTCATCTATTAAACACAGCAGTAACCCTTGAATGAACGTTTCTAATCCGTCAACAGCCCTGTAAAATGAAAACCACTCTTAGCATGCTCTTGAAATACTGTACTTACCAGGGTGAGAAAAGGTGCTGACACACTTCAGCAAGATTTCTGGTTAGAACTGAACTCTAAAGGATTTTCCTACTAAACAAAATATTCCACTCCACAGGCATATGGCTAGATACAATTTTTCTCTATGTAAGGTTCATAATTACTACTAAGTCTGAAGTGTTAGAACAACTTTATCATAGCAACATTCCTACTAAAGGTTTTGAAGTTGGCCTACCTAGAAGGAAGCATTTATGCCTCACACCTTCCAAAGTGCCTCCACTAAGAGCCGCTCCTCCTTGAATACCCTCCCCTGTTCTGCCCTGGCGCAATCCCCGTACTCTTTGCAGCCCTGTGAAGCCCTTAGATGTCCCCTCCCTGCCCTTCTATTCCCTCCCTGAAGCAGAATGTCATTCTCCCTTATGATCATGGACGATGCTGTTATAACACTACCATGGCAGCCAATACAGCACAAGTCAGTACCACTGATTTCTGCATTCATTCAGCGAATATTCGTGTCACGTGGCTCCCCGCCAGACACTGGGGAGACGAGCGTGGAGATGGGGGTGCAATGACCACACAGGGCACTTGCTGGGGGACAGCTACCCTGTCTGGTGTGTTATCCTCACCTGCACCTGGCAAAGTGGGTGAACGGGGAGTCCAGACAGGTGACCTGGGGGATGGTGGGCTATTCTCTGATTTGGGGAACACAGAGAGGAGAGGGGACAAACTGGAAAGTAAATGGAGATGAACAACAGTTATGTCTACAGGCCTGAAGCTGGAGAAAGCTGTCTGAGCTTCAAAGGAGATTTTGGAGGCAGCGGCTCACAAGGCAGCGATCCTGAATTCGTGGCTGAAGGGCTGAGCGCTCAGTCCCTCCGAGGACGATGATGCTTTTCAGAGTACTGGTGTCACTTCATATACCGGGTGGCATTGGGCTGTCAGATAGAGTCAGAAAGAGAACAGGCAGGAGCAGAATCAGTAAACTTCTGAAGCTTTCAACGACAGGGAAGCTGGAGAAGATGAGGAGCCAGGTTGAGGTCATGATGCGCCACAGCCCGGGACCCTGAGATT